CAGGGGTCGCGATAGAAACGACAAAGCGACTCCCGTTCACAAGCTCAGCGTGCCGGCCTGCCATGAGCAATCCTCTGCGGCAACGTTGCAAGATCGGTCGACAACGCCTCTCGCACTTGGCCATCCCGAGCAAAGAAGAGCATTTCGCAGAATCAAGCTCATGATCCAAGGACCCCTCTGAGATGCTGAGCGCTAAGTCACAGAGCCCCGGCCAGGCGCCTGTGTAGCCAGCGGCGCACCGGTAGCTCGTCGCTTGCCTGTTGCCAAAGCCGGCAAAGACAGAAGCTCTGCAAGCGGGCGTGCAACCTCACCGTCATTCGCCGAGGCCTCGGGCCGTAGGTGTATGGGTAGCACAAAGTAGGCACCCCACCACTAATCCCCACCCGTTGCGACCCTGTATTTGGGCCTGGAATCCCCCCACCCTCCGCCCACCCCAGACCCAATGCCCCCAACCCCCTCCCCCTCTCCTTGTTATGCTCGCTGCCAGCAGAACAAGGCCACTGCGCAGGGCTAACATGACACGAAACAAACGCCATGAGGAGCAAATGCGAGTCCTATGTAAGCAGCCTGGAATAGCCCTCTGGTAGCGGAAGAGGGTCAGGGCCTGAAACACATTGAAAGGCAAATTGGAAGGTGCCAACAGGCATCGGAAGGTGAGGAGCAGTTCAAGCTTCGCTTCGCTTTGCCTCGCTGTGGTTCGCTCTGAGTGCCTGGCAGTTCAAGTTGCACCACGGCACCTCGAAGCTCATGGGCGCCGAAGGGTCCGAGTTGTTCTCCCAGCAGGAAGCCGGGAAGCCTTCGCCTCCGCTCCGAGAAGCAGAAAAAGGTGATATGGAGAACGAATCTGAAGAATAAGCGAAATAACTGCGAAGCACTCAAAAGAGCCGTGACAGTGCTTGCGCTACTGGTCGAATGATTCATTCAACGTGGCAGTCAGCATGAATCGAAAGCCATGAGCATTCCCTTCGTCAAAGTCGTCTTCCTCCTCGCCGTTGCCTTAAAACACCTCAAAACTAGGGCCTGCGGATTTACCGATGGCCTTCATAGGGCGCGCGGCAAGCAATTCGGCAAGTGGTCCCGGGCGCGAAATTGCCACAACTCGACCAGTCGTACCTGGCTTGGCAAGGTGTTGCCTGGTTGCTTGGTTACCTATGAGAAGAGCATACAGTACAGATAGCACAGCATAGACATGCAGCAATGGGCAACGAAAACGATGAACAACGAGCCTGCAGGGGTCCAACGATGGCGCTTGGCAGGGCCGACGTTCCAAGCACCCAGACAGGCTTACATTCCGCTCGCACCGATCGTCGATATCACAAAGCTTCACCTCCGCTCCAAACGCGTGCAAGATGGTGCGAAGGCAAACTACTCTCCTTGCACAACACGTGTTGCGAGAGCGCCTATGAGGTCTTCTCCGTCTTAGAAAAGACTGAGGCGGTGACGGCTTGGCCGGTAAAGCCTTCTGCACAGGACCAGCGATCGCGATCCTTTACTCGAGCAGCTACTTGGGGCTTGCAAGACAGGCCTGAGAGAATGCATGAGCCTGAGCTGGTTAGAAAACCTCTGCGTTGACACACCACCAGTGGGTGTCTACATCTATCCACGCCAGGCGACAAAGTCGTGATTGTAGCCACGCCCCACTTCCGAAAGTGCTGGGCTGGGACAGAGCTTTTGGCAAGGTGGTCGGTCGTAGATCCTGAATCGGAAGCAGCACAAGAGCTGCACGACTACAACAAGACGTCAGAGAGACTATGCGGACTGTGGGACGCGAGTGCAGCAAAGCATCAACTTGCCATCTGGATCGGTGTTCCTAAGGGCGCACACAAGGGAACAGCCGTGTCGCCCGATCAAGACCAAGGGTAAAGCCAGCAAAGGCACAAGCAAGCAGAAAGAACTGGTGGCGGAAATCGGCCAAGAGTCGTGCTGGGACATGTAGCTCTAACACTCGGGCCCATGAAGGGCTCCTGACAGTGAATTTGGCACGATGCACCAGGTTGGACCTCGGACCGGTTTCTCACACAAGCTGTGCTGGCATGCCTTCCTCAAAACTCACAAGACTGGCTAACAGGCAACACTTGAATGGTTCAGGTGAGGCTATTGGGGTTTCGGAGTTTTTGGGATCTCAGAAAGGGGGTTAAGGGCTTGACCCTAGGGTTTAGGGGTTGGGTGCGTCTATTCCGCGAAAACCTGATCTACTGCATCTGCAATCCTTAGGATGAGAAGCTTCCGGATTCCACCCAGAATGCCCAACACTCTAGGGCTTTAAGGTTTCGGGCTCAGGGTTTAGGGCTTCACAAAGCAAGGGGACTTTAGCCCTGAACGAACACTAAGTTTTCAGGTGTGCTCTCAAGGGTTGGACACAGGCCTCCTTGGGTGCCGCTTTTTCAAGGCTAAGGCCCAAGGCCAGTTCTACACCAAGTTGCATTTTCGCAGTCACTGGTGTTGAAGCCACAGGACGGAACTTCAGACCTGGAGAGATGGCATCGTGCTTACGGCAGCCAAGATCAGAGCTGGAAGACATGCTGCAATACATGCGTCCAGCACGTTCCTGACCTGGAGTCTGCAAAATCCAGTGCAGGATCGGGTCGACGACAAGGCCGCAAACGCCGACAGCCAGAGAAAACTGCCTGCAGCGACTGAACATCAATTGGAGCCCATACAAGACGGTACCCACAGATGCTTCGAGCAAACGAGACGTGTGGTCAATTTCCATTTGCTGTCACCATTGCCTGCAGGACGCAGGTGTCCTCTACCCGCAGCAGCGTGCACTCTCGCAACGCCTGGAGACAGGACTTTGCTAAACCCAACCTGAGCACAATTGAGCACATAAGTTATGCTCCATATGGTCCATAAGCCACAGCAGATTCGGCAGTCGAAAGAACAGATTAACCTTCATCATGTCTTTAACAATCTCCTTCTTCGTCTCGGGGCGGGAGAGGGGGGTTTTGAGGGTGTCCTTAAGAATCAGCCTTTTAGGCTTGCTCCGACTGTCAGAAGTTGGCAAACGCCTGTGGGAGATGATGAAACTTCAGACGGTTCAGGGTGTTTCAGCGACAGGTGCTGCGTTTACAGGGCAAGATGCCATGCCACACCTTACGGCCACGACGATGTATTGGCAAGAGCGCTAAGCCATTCAAAAAGCATCCAAAGTCGAGTCAAATCTGCCTAATATGCCTCTCTTTGCGCGGCCGAAGCTTACTGGCTTATTGTAGACTGCGCCGGTGGAGTGGTGAGCCTCCCCAAAGTAGCCATCTCGACAGACCCACTGCCCTGTCTCCTGCACCTCTCGTGAAGGTCGAGAAGCTTCTGCACTTCCATCTGCTGCCACATTTCAGACATTTGTGCTGCAAATTCTCTCTCGCGCCTGCCGGTAGCCGGATGGTATTGTGTCAGGGTTTGGGCATGAAACCTGGCTTCCCAAGAGTGCCCCCAAAAGTCCCCCAGGAGTGAGCCGCGGCATGTGAGTCATTGCGAGTCGCGACGTGAGGCCTTGTCTTGCTCCAGCGCCGCTACACAGCTCGGCAGCTGGAAGCTAAGGTTGGCCTCGACCGAAGAAGCACACTTCTCAAAAGTTCGGAGGGCTTCTGAAGGCAAGAAGGACTGGAGCTTTGTCTCGGGAAATCTCGTCGGCACCTGCTTCCCTTCTTGCAAAGAACGTTCGCGTCCAACCCCACCTCCTCATCTGCGCGCCCCGAGGCAGGGCAGAGCGCGATGGACCTCACATAGCAACGCTGCGTCTATGCTCTCCAAGCTTTGCGACGTTCCGGCATCTTCTTCGTACAGCTCTTCTTTCTCCGACAAGTCACGAGGCTCCAAGGTAAGGCGCTTTGCAGCGCACCCTGTAACAGTGCCATCGACTGTCACTAACAGCGACATCATCATGTGAAATGCCAGGTTCGGCCTGCAGGACGAGCCCTGTGAGACGCCACCGCACTCCTCCAAGGTTTACAAAGTTTACGTTCCGATTCTTTACGGCTAGCACAAGATGCACAGCCATTGGAGGTCACGTTGGTGGTACAGGCCCATTCAACACTGCATGAGTGCAACGTATGTTGTGTTTTCTGTTTGTGCGATGTAAGACGTCAATGACTCACTGCCGGCTGCACTCCACCCTCCCAGGCTGTCCGAGACGTCATAGACGCACGGATCAATCTCCGGTCCTTTGCAGGGTGTCATGGGTCATGTGTATGCAGGACCACATCAGATCAGACCCAGTGGATTAACAGCAAACCTCTTTCACAAAAGCGCACACGGCTGGCGTTTTAACGCGCCAAAGCATGCCGTGAGAAACATGTAAGCCAAGCGACGTCGACAGTAGGAGCACAGTCTCAAACTTGAGCTTGCAAACGGACGCTCCTCGTGCATGGTTCTTGCTGAAAGCCCTGGTTAAGTCCAGAGTCTACAAATCATTTTTGACAAACGGCTCTGTGACGCTGTGGTCGCAAAAAGTGCTGACTCTGGGTGGCTTGTATCTTGGTGCCTGCTAACAGATCGAAGAAGTACAAAATTGAGGAATGTTCTGAAGCTCTCAAGTTCTGGAGGCCCAACCAGCCTGTTGACAAGGTAAGGGTTCTTCACCCCGACTGTTTTTCTGACAATAACCGACACAGAACTCAGTGTCGTGACCTTTTCGGATCTTGGCAGGATGCGAGGCTTGGCCGTGGGCATGGGGAGCATCTACTGGGACTCTGCACGTTGAAGGACCTTTTGAACCCCTTCCACTGTCGATGGCCATTTCCACGCACGCACACACAGAGTCCAAATGCCTTTAGCTCTCCAATGAAGGGTTGGTGCTTGCTCCGATTGCCCCGATCCGCAGCTCCTCTGACAGGACTGACTGGCCATGCCCCACGCACAGCTCCGAGCGCTTCGTGTTGAAGCCTTCACATGGCACGGACGTCAAAGCCAACGGGACTTGTGACATTGACGAAGCATTCACGAGTTGTCAGCCCGCTTCGTCAGCCTGCCTGGAAACGTCTGCGTCGTCACAGTCGTCGTCTGCTGCAAGCGCCGTAAGCGTTGGAGATGCTCGACGTATCGCCACTTGCTCCGGTTCGCGGATTTCCTTAGCTCGGAAGCACAGCTTCGACAGGTCGTTTAGGTGTTGGAGGCATTTGAAGCTCGGAAACGAGCTGGTCAGCTTCGGAGAGTCTTGTGTTTAGCTTTGCCTTGCCTTGCTTTGCCTTAAAGCCAGGCAGCTGGATGCTCTTGGAAACCTTCGGTCTCCAAGGCTCATCACTGAGCACACTTTCGGTGCATTCCCAAAGGAGCAGCCTCGAGCGCACAAAAAGGCGGTCCTCATGATTCTCATGACTCATGAAACTCTGAAAATCCTGAAGCTACAAGCTGCTGGCAAGGCACACGGCCCAAAGCCATGCCAGCATTGGAATGTTTGGGCCGGTCTACATTTGGTCTTACGATCTTGTAGAGTGTTGAAGGGCGCTTAAGGGCGTGATCAAACGTCTCAACTTCCATGCTGCCTGAAGAAGCCCGACCTGCTTTTCGACACAGCAAAATGCATCTATGCTGCTGCTGCTCAATGGGCCTTGCCTCTACACAGCTTGCAAACGAGACTGTTGACTAGTTATGGCTGCCTTCTCTTGCTTGGCTGAATTGAATTTCGCTAACTGAAGCTTGGAGCAGGACATAGCGGTGCGTTGTCGGAGAACATACCGAAGTGCCGAAAACCCCACCGTGTGTCACTGGGACGGACGCTCACAGACTGGCATGTTTCCTGGCCTGCTCGTCAAGGGCATAGCGCTCTACGATACACGTAATGGCGATGACCGGCCATGCGTCAACGTCTGTACAGCTCGTTGACACTGGCTTAACAAGTTTCTGGATGGCGAAGCTGAGGGCAGATGGTGGAGATTCGTGGAGATTGGAGGGCTGTCTTGGCGTCTCCACGGTTGCTCGCAACTCGGCTCAGGAGACTGCACGGGTCACAGTCAACTTGCCATTCTCCGAAACGGGGTACCCCAAGCCTTCCTTCCAGCATGGACCCCAAAGCTGGATCGGGAGGCATGACCCAACACCGAAGCACTGACATAACACTGCGAGATGCTGTGAGGTACGGCGAGCTTATGCTAGTTTCAGAATCCGGGCACTCTGCTGTGGAGCATTCAAGCCTTCGGCCTCTTCACAGGAGGTGATCGTTGGCCTTTTCAGGCCGCGGGGGCTAGCCCCGATTCAACGAGGAGGCTCAATCCAGGTCACGAATCTCAGGCTCCTGGGTCCAAGCACACACAAACACACTGTTTCCACCGGAATGCAGAAGAAGTACCACATAGTGCCACCCCGAGTGCCTTGGTGGGAAGGCCGGCTTCGGCTGCTGATCGCTTGCCCTAACAGGGATACGGGCAGCAGCATGGCTCGGTGACATGGAAAAACCCGGGACGACGTGGCGGACATGGTGGGCGTGGCCCTACAGTAATGAGTAGTGTTGTGCGGGCCTTGTTCTTCCCCTGCGCCTGTCACAAGTCTTCGTCAAAGCTTGACACGACACGTCCTGCCCTCGCAAGGCCTGCCTGCTTCAGCCTCTGCTGGCGATCCTTCTCACGGCCAGCACGCATCTTCTCGATCTGCACCGGAAGATGCTGCAAAAAAACGAACCCCATGCTGCAAACGATGCCACGTCAGGAAGCAACATACAGAAACATGGACAGCCTGAGTGACTGCTAGACACGGTTAGACACTGTTAGACATTCTAGACATTCTAGGCATTCTAGATGCTAGACACGAGTTCCCTGCAGAGACTCTTGTCAAATTTCACTCTTTGTGGCACGAGCCTGGGCCAGCTCGGACATCAAGGCCTTCTTCTCCTGCTTTTCGTGAGCCTGCCGCAGTGTTTTTGGATGCTCGGGACGTGCTGCCTTCAGCGCAATTAGTGCGACCGACGAGGGTTTTTAGCGGCCGTTGTGCCAAAGCGTGCCACTGCATGTCTGGCGCCAATTGAACCGTTGTGCCGCTCCATGGCGACGCCGACAACATGAGCCTTACCTACGCCGTCGCGCTAGTTGTGCGAGTTGCGCCGGTTGTGCCGTTGCGCCTTTCTTTAAACCACAATAACCCTAAAACCCCAACAACCCTTAACCCTAAAATCTGAAACCAAACAATGCCAAACCCAAGCCAAGTCCTTAAGCCCGGTACGGTGGAGTACAGAGGACAGAGCGGCGCATCGCATGACGGAGCGGAGCCAATTGGCAGATTTGGCGTTTAGGGCTTACCCCACACGGTTAGCTCAGGGGTGCTGCTAGCCTTCTTCTCCTTGAGCTCCTCTTTCTGCTCTGACGTCTGACTGGTCTTCATCTCCCTGGCAAAGGGTCAGGGGATGTGAGAGGCGTCGCCGGGTGCCATGCCGGGGGGTACGGAAACCCGCTAACTTTGTTCGAGCCCTTTTTTCTTCGCTGCCGCATGCCGCAGTTGATCGGCCTGTTGCCAACCGACCCCTTTGCAGCTCCGAGGCTCGGCCCCCTCGCCAGTGGCATGCCAAAGCCAAAATCTCGACTTTTTTCATTCATGCTTGGCAACACTTTAGCATGCCAGGTCAACATGGGCCAGCCTTCTACAAGCAGAGAGGCGCAAGCCACAGGAGAGTATCTTCAAACTGCTTTGGGTCTACCTGCCCAGGCCATCGGAAAACCCTAAGTTGGCTTTAAGGGTTTAGATATCTAAATTTCAGGGCCTAAGCCTAAAAAGAGGGGCAAGATTCGCAATGGGCCCCCGCGACACAAGAGGGTCCCAACTTGCTTGTTTTTTGTTGGTGTCGGGTCGAAGCTTGCACTTCCCTGATGTGCTCGGAGCACGGTCAGACTACGGCGACGCGACTACAGCGACTACGGGGGCTGTTCCAGGCTATGCTGGGGCCTCACCGCGCCCAAACAGCGCACAAATTGAGCGGCAAACGTGGCCCGCCTTGCGAGTCGGCTCTTGCCTGAAGCTAACGTGGTCCTGGTCATCCTCCAGGAGCTCATCGCGCTCCCTCTGCAGATCAAGCTGCCTGGGCCAGCAAAGGAAAGCAGAGTTATGTTTACTTGCACTTACTTAGATTTTTCTGTGCTCTTTAACGCTGTATGAAGCTGTCCAATGCCAGTCCAGCTGCCCCTGCAGCTTCTGCATGTTGGCCTGTGCATTTCGAAGCTCGTGAGCCAGCTGCGACGATCGAGCGCGCTCCTCCTGCAAGCTACAGGTCAGCGCACACCGAGATACATCTGCAACTACAGCATGCGATGGTGTCCGCGAGATGCGGATTCTGATTGCACAGGGGAACTTGACATAACTTGATTCGGGGAAGAAACTTGAACTTCAAACGAAACCTGGAGAACTCGACTGATGACGACTTCGGGCCTGGAGTTGCGCACGCAGCGAGCGCACGTCGGCCTCCAGCAGCCTCCTTCCCCAGGTCGATGTCGATGTCGAGGCACCCAAGGTGCCCACGAGGCCTCTTCTTGCACTTGCTTGCACGCCTTCTTGTTTTGCGACTTAAGTACTACTTAAGCACAACTAAGTACTACTTAAGTACTGCAAACACTTGCATCAACTTGCAGATCTGTCTGTAACTGTCCGCAGACATGACCATTGCATGTATTCGGCCAGTTGGATATGAGGCGATTCGATGAGGGCATCTGAGGGCGGCCGCATTCCCTTGCATTTCCAGCCATACGGTCGGCCTCCACCCTCTGCGCGTCCCACATCCAGGTGATTTGTCGCTCCTCGGACTGCAATTCACAATATGACATAATATGACAAGAACAAAGTACATCATGAGGGCTGCTTCTGGCTGACTGTGACTCACAAAGCCCTGCTGCAGCCAGGCTTCGAGAGTTTTGGCTGACAAAGGTTCGTGGAGAGGAGCTGGAGCTCGAAGCCGCGACGGGGGAGCGCAGCGAGCGCAGCGAGCGAAGTGACGCATCCTCCCGGGCCCCGAGGTTCAGCGAGAGTGGTGCAGGGACAGGCGTTGGAAGCGCAGAAGACGGTGCAGAAGGCGGTGCAGAAGGCGGTGCAGAAGGCGGGGTGGAGGAGTCGGCCCCATGCTGGCCCTGCTCGTCTACCGGAGCCGAAGCGGCCGAAGCGGCCGAAGTGGCCGGAGTCTCCACAGACTCCGAAACCTCTGGAGCCTCCAGAGCTGGAGATTGCAAGCGATCCTCGCTCTTGGAGGTTCTGGACAGGCGCCTCTCTAGCTCCTCACGAAAGGCCTTGCCAGAGACACTGCAGACTACCAGTACGGTCTGATGTGACTGCAAGTCAGGAAGCTCCGCATGATCTACGCGATTTATGCAGTTGCCGCATAAAGTGTCCCCACTTGGCCTGCGACATCGCCATGTGCGCGTAAACGCACAGCAGGCTAAGCTGTCAAACTACAATTGTTTTGCTAGCTAGGCACAGCCAGGCCGAATTGAAGATTTCAGGGAAGACCTGAGTTGAGTATTTGAGACATGCTTGATGGGTCGCTATGCCTCCAGGCCTAAACAACTGCAAGCACCTTGAGCCGACATATTCATGGTACAAGTGGTGGCAAGCACAAAGGGCACGGTCCTGCTTGGATCCCTTGCGTCAGACATGCTGGATGTTAGGGCCTGGATGCTACTGCAAGAGCTACAACCGCCGCCAAGAGCAGGGATGGTCACATGCAGGCAGTGCAAAGATATCGTTGTGACAAAAAGTGCTGTACCAAACTACGCTCACTATTGGAAACTGCTTGCAGCTGCGCTAACGGCAGCAGGGCTCACCAGAGACTTGGAAGAAATCTCACTGATGCATTATACCTCCATGAAGAGCTTCATGCAGGCATCTTCTGCCAGCTTCACTTTGGCAAGCATCAGTTGAGCTGCGAGATCACTGGCCGAACTCGTGCTCAGGCAATTGCCTGCCGCACTCTCCTTTTCTCGCGCAGCTATCTCCAACCCGCAATGCTGCTGCCGCATTATACCTCCATGAAGAGCTTTCATGCAGGCATCTTCTGCCAGCTTCACTTTGGCAAGCATCAGTTGAGCTGCGAGATCACTGGCCGAACTCGTGCTCAGGCAATTGCCTGCCGCACTCTCCTTTTCTCGCGCAGCTATCTCCAACCCGCAATGCTGCTGCCGCATTATACCTCCATGAAGAGCTTTCATGCAGGCATCTTCTGCCAGCTTCACTTTGGCAAGCATCAGTTGAGCTGCGAGATCACTGGCCGAACTCGTGCTCAGGCAATTGCCTGCCGCACTCTCCTTTTCTCGCACAACTATCTCCAACCTGCAATGCTGCTGCCGCATTATACCTCCATGAAGAGCTTTCATGCAGGCATCTTCTGCCAGCTTCACTTTGGCAAGCATCAGTTGAGCTGCGAGATCACTGGCCGAACTCGTGCTCAGGCAATTGCCTGCCGCACTCTCCTTTTCTCGCGCAGCTATCTCCAACCCGCAATGCTGCTGCCGCATTATACCTCCATGAAGAGCCTTCATGCAGGCATCTTCTGCCAGCTTCACTTTGGCAAGCATCAGTTGAGCTGCGAGATCACTGGCCGAACTCGTGCTCAGGCAATTGCCTGCCGCACTCTCCTTTTCTCGCACAGCCATCTCCAACCCGCAATGCTGCTGCCGCATTATACCTCCATGAAGAGCTTTCATGCAGGCATCTTCTGCTAGCTTCACTTTGGCAAGCATCAGTTGAGCTGCGAGATCACTGGCCGAAATCGTGCTCAGGCAATTGCTTGCTGTTGTGCCGACGCATCTGCAGGACAATGCATCATGAGGGAAGTACATATGTTTCCCGTTTCGTGCTGCTCTCCATTTTCTAACTGAAACCTCACTGGATTTTCGCACGGTTTGTAGAATGTAACCTCCGTGAGGAGAAAGAGCTGTGATGATGCAGGCTTCGGAATCAGGGCAGCCATGGGTGCGGCGACACTCCAAAAACTTAGTCTGAGCTGGCCTCAATGTCTCCACGGCCTTTTCTTTTTGCTCCTGAAGTGCCACTTTTGAAGCCTTCACCGAGAACAGACAAGTACAGGCATCAATGAGAACTTCGCAGCGCAGCAGAAGCCGGACCTCCATGAGCTCCTTCTCTTTCTTCTTCGCCTCCTCAGCAGCCTGAGGCGCTTGCCTTAAACTTATCCTTGCCTGCCCACGTTTGTTCTGCAAACTTTCTGTGTTCTCGAGCCTTCTTCGCTGCCTCGGCTGCCTCGACCGCGTTCTTCTTCGCTTGCTGGAGCTCTTGCAACTGGCAGGGCACATGACATCTCCTGATTGTCAAGAATTTGCTGGGGCAGCACCTTCTGATTGCCCTCCATGTGCAGCTCAAGAATCTTGACCTGCCGACGAAAACTCGGACGTCTGGACGCGAAAAACACCAGCCCAGAATCTGAGAGCTGCAAGAACAGTCTGCGTGCCGTCTTCTCGATTTCACCGCGGCCAGCAGACGCCTCAGCAGAAACATCGTCAGCATTTTGCCGAAGGCATTTTGCAGCATGATTTGGTCACCCGTGGACGTGTTAGGTGTCTTGGCCTTGTGGGTCTCGGCTGCAGCCTCAGCTTTTGCGAGTTTTGCAGCCTGCACAGGAGCCACACCGTCAGCAACTGGCAACTCAACCTGAACTTCAACGTGCCTTGAGCTTCTCCACAGCAACAGCCTCGCGAGCAACCGCTTCCTCCACCCTGCCATGGAATGCGTCGAGCTCATCGAACATGACTTGCCACTTTCCTGGAGGCCGTGTTCACATGTTTTCACAGCTCGCCTCTTGGAGGCCTGGTTAATGGCATCTTGAACCTTGCAGGCTCGAGAGGATTCTCGAAAACTCCATAGGGGCTCCTTTGAGGCATGCTCAGGCCATGACCTCCTGTTCCTCCTCATTGAGCTTCTGCTCTGCGCCTGATCCCAAAACTCCTGTGACTCTGTGTATTCCCGTGCCACGGCTGTGGAACTGCAACATATGCCCCGTTGGCAAAAGCGCGCCTTTTTCCGCAGTGGCGCTCAGATCAAGGGCACTTGGGGCTTTCAGGATCTTTCAGGTGCAATACGCCCTGATATCACTTGCTGGCTGCAGACTTGCTCGATGGGCCCTGGTAGTAGGCTCCAATCCTCGGGCACCGTGAATTCATTCCAGTTTGGGTAAAGCCTTGGGCTTTTCCTTCCCATATGCTCCAGGGCACGACGGGTTTGGCTGCATGAGGTGCTCCTTCCCCGGACAGTACATCGCCTGCCCAATGATGTGGTCTCGAACTCTCGAACCGCGCCGGAACGGCGCTCCGAGCCTGAGGTGGGTTGTGGCCCAAGACGTATTTCGACCGGAGGCCTCATTTTTTTGCAGGCGACATGCAGCCATATGCAGCCATGCTAACTGCTCTGTCGATGATCTGAGAACCGCACAGAAGACAGGATTTGTTGAGAGGAATGTTGCGGGGCAGCTGCAAGCGGCCTCCTTGTACGGGGTTGATGATTTCGAGCCGGGCTCCTGGCCAGAGCGAGAAGCGTTGTCAGCATTGTGCAGAAGCGGTTTTACTTGGTGACATTGTCCATTGTCGTGATCTTGCGCGTGCAGCGAACAGCACAGTCACCCAACAAGTCCTCACCCATGGGTTTCACTACCTGGGCACTGCATGTCGGCAGCTTCGGGGTCAACAGGGAAACAACCGTTTTTTTTGGAGTCATTCAGTGAGATGACTTCTCAACTCAGCGCGGGCACGAACTCCAGGAGGAGCAGGTGCAGCACAAAGTGGACCACTGCCGCGCCGACCACGACGATGAGCAGCGAGCTTCCCTGGCAAAGACCAGGAGCCAGTCGGGGCTTCTTTGTGAGTGACTGTCGTCCAGCCTTTAGGTATCCGGATCCCAATTCATCCGACTTGCTGGACATCTGGTTGGTCTGGCAGGGGGCAGAGCTCACAAGCTCCCGTAAAGCTTCCGAAGCAGGACTCCGCGCCGAGCCTTGAAAACCAAGGCACCGGCCAATATGCTGCATGGAATGGCAAAGAGCTGCATGCCCAGCCAGTGCACCTTCACACATACACTTGCACGTTGGAGTCTGGAGACTGGATGCTCGCTCTTTTTATTCATTTAGCCTGGCACACGAAACCCCTAAATGCTCAGGCCCTTTTCCTACAAGGTTCTGCGGCATTGTCCTGTTTCTACCTGCAAGTTCAAGAAAAGCAGTTTGCCTCAGCATCGCTGAAGTTGAACTTGCGGACATAGCGAAGCACCTCGCAGAGTCTACCGCTTCCACACGTACATGCTCCACACACCGACTACACACGTTCAAAGCACAACGGGCGCTCTCGGCGGAGCCAACCTACTGTTTATTCGTAGGGAAGGAGCTAGGCACCCACAGAAATGAATAGTCTCTCGACAGAACCCCCAACTAAGAAGGCCTGCAATTCGCAAGCCACCCCTATACTGGAACTTCCCCCAGCACCAAAACACTCAACACGAGCGACACCGTTGAGCAGAATTGAACAATGTGTCTTTGGAAGCTAAACAAACAGGCGAAAACAAAACGCCCGGTGTGGGAACTACTCGCAAAAGAACACTGGAACTACTCGCAAAAGAACAAAGGACTGGCAGCACGTGGTAGCATACACTACGGAACCTGGTACACCTCAAAAGCAGAAGATGCCAAGTAGGCCCTGAGAGCAGCAGCATTGCAGCAGCAGCCTTGCAGCAGCAGCATTGCAGCAGCTGCATTCAGCATTGCAGCAGCAGCAGCAGCAGCAGCATTGCAGCAGCAGCATTGCAGCAGCAGCATTGCAGCAGCAGCATTGCAGCAGCAGCATTGCAGCAGCAGCATTGCAGCAGCAGCATTGCAGCAGCAGCATTGCAGCAGCAGCATTGCAGCAGCAGCATTGCAGCAGCATCATTGCAGCAGCATCATTGCAGCAGCAGCATTGCAGCAGCAGCATTGCAGCAGCAGCATTGCAGCAGCAGCATTGCAGCAGCAGCATTGCAGCAGCAGCATTGCAGCAGCCTTGCAGAAGCATTGCAGAAGCATTGCAGCAGCATTGCAGCAGCATTGCAGCAGCATTGCAGCAGCATTGCAGCAGCATTGCAGCAGCATTGCAGCAGCATTGCAGCAGCATTGCAGCAGCATTGCAGCAGCATTGCAGCAGCATTGCAGCAGCATTGCAGCAGCATTGTATGCAGTTTCGTGCGCCACTGCCGCCTGCTGCTGCTTCTCGGATCTGGGGAGAAATTGCCATTTGTGATTCGGTAGAGTTTTAAATCCTTACTGAGAAGCTTTCTAAATTGGGATCAGATTTGTTGGCTTCTCGAATCAGAGTCTGAATCGGACTCGCGCAGATTCGGAATCGCTGCACGTGATGCAAGTGTTTACTGAGGGGTGCAAGCGTGCCCCTGGTCATGGAAGCCGCAAAGCCTTGATCTGGTCATAGATGTAGAGGTAAGCATGGGAGAATAGCAACCTAAGATTGAGGCAGCCTCATCATGCTCCAACAACACTCGGAACTTCCCCACTGCACGATGGCCATGATACTGCTAAGTCTATGAGCTCCGAGTAGCGCAGCCAGTGTCATAGCGAGATAAGCCGGAGAAATGAACGGAATACAGGTCATGAGGATCACGTTGAAGATGCAATCCTAGGCTACCACAAACATCCACTGACTGCGCCTCAGCGGCTTTACAGGACCGCAAGGGCTTCTTTTATTTTTCTGCGTCTGAAAGTCGGCGTACCGGCCTTGTTCCATCTCGCCCAACTCCAGGGCCTCAAAACTCTTCCACGTTCATATACGTTCATCCATTCTTGTTGCGCAGTCGCTGAGTCGCCCCCAGATGCTGAGCTTAGTGAAGCGAATCTTCGTACGGCTTCGCACGGTCTGCCTTCTCGGCGTTCTCTCCTTGGATCTTCTTGTTCGCTCCCACGATGTACCTGGTTGACACCAGCTTCTTCCACGCAGACACCAACGCACGTGACAAGACATGCGACAGGACCGACAACACTGTTGCGGCCCGGTCACTGGCCCAGGTGCTTTGGCAGCCACTGCACCGCCAGGGGCTCTGCCAGGAAGGGGACGAAGAAAGTGCAAGGCCAACAGTACCTGAGCCACACCTCGATCCTCCACGTGAACTGCGCTGTGCTACGCAGGCTGCCCACTGTTTGCCCCAAAGATAAAATCACAGCCGAGCCGCACGAAGAGCAGTTTGCCAACCGATTTCTGGATTGGATATGACTCGAAGATTTGCTGCGGGCTGTCCTCAGCAACGTTAGAAGTGAATCCTGGCAGCGAGTGGAGCCCAACGACATGCAGGCCTCATTTGCAGAAGCACACCACGACATGGCGAGTCTCGAGCGCGCAGCTACTTCGGCAATTCGTTGTCTGCATTTCCATTCCCCGAGTTGTGGGAGGTTCCACAGGCCCAAAGGCTTGGTTGCTAGCTTTTGATTCTCAGAGTCGGCCTTTCACTTCGCGAGCCAGGACAACGACAGAACTTGCCACCCAAGTGTCCAGGCTACCCAGCAGGCGCCCGTCCGAAGTGTGAGCACCAACTCCCACCATCTGAAGGTAGCCTTGCATTCTTTTAAATGACAGCCTTGCGACATCGGTTTACTGCAATGTGCTCGCCACAGCGTCTCAATCCCAACAAACAAGAACCACGCCAAATGCTAGCAATGGGCTCAAGTAGGTTTGGAGAGCGATGTCCATCACCAGGTTCAGGATCCTGAGGCAACAACGTCAACAACGTCAACAACGTCAACTCGCCCACTCCTGAGAACATGAGAACCTCCGAATGAATTCGTTCGAGCTGGCTTTCTAGGGGTCTCTGCGACCCAGCTGCAAGGCCGCGTTGTAGAACATCGTGTAGGCCTTACCGGCACACAACTGCAGTTGTGCCTACGGATGTGGCCGCGTGCCCAGCACTTTAGCGCGGACTTGTGCCTTCTGCGTCTCATCTTCGCTTTGGAAGCTGGCATGCTTGGCACCTGCGCAGGCCGAAGTTGCAGGAGTGTCAGACTTGCCTTGCCGACTCTGCCAGACTTTTGAGACAAGTCGCCCATAGAGCTGACGACAAAGAGCCCAAGCTGGGAGCCAACGACGAGACCTCTGCTCTGAGATGCAGAGAAACGTTCAACACAAAACGCGTTCTCTACCTCTCGCTCTCTACAGAGAAGCTCAAGTGGAGAGAGGAGCCCATGGGAGCCCACAGACAGCACAGAAACAAAATAGCACCCAAAGCAAAGAGCACCGGATGACAGTTCGCCCCACAAGCATTGAGGAGGGAAGCACGGTCTCTGAAGCATCTCCCGAAGTCCCAGACTGCGAGGGTCCGAGGGTCCGAGGGTGTGGTGTGTGACCCTACGGTGCGTGTGCAGGCGCCCGCCTCCAACCCCGAACTAGCTTTCTCACGAGCACTGACAAGACTAATGGAACTGCTGGCACTGACAGAAAAGTGGATTGCTCTGCCGCCCACACTAGATGTGGCAAGACGTGGCAAGACTGTACCTCTCTTTGTCCAAGCTGCAGATGAAGAGACCCTCAGAGAACTCGCCAGGCTCATCTCCATTTGCATACGAAAAGGAGGCCATGTAGTACCTTCGCAGGCCAGCGCACCGACTTCTGGATGTTTCAGGCGCCGTCGGGTGTGGGAGGTTTGGGCTCTTCGTCTTTAAGGCCTGGAGAGCATGAAGGGCTCTAAAGGCTTTAGGTTTCAGAGACTACAAAAGGGCCTGAAAAGAGATTCTTGGGGCTGTTCGGGGCAAGGCTCGCGTAGGGAATGTACAGCACGAAAGTCCACACCGCGCAGGACGCCACCAGGCCCTCGATTCCACTTCGGGAAAAGGGAGAACGGTTGAGACACTAGTACAGCTCAACGTGGCTCAACGTAGTTGAAAGTTCAACCTGTAATTGATTTGTTGCTACACTATACTCATCACTACGGACCTGTGTGGTTGCACCCACTAGAACTTCCAGCCGGCAAGAAATGGCTGTAAAGGCAGCGGGCGGAACCTTTGCCCTTGAACTTCATGGAGACAGGGCTCCAGGATCGCCACACCGATCTTCCCGCTTCTCTGCTCCGACGTGACGGCCATGTTGTGCCAGAAGAGGCCTCGCCCGACGATGGTTGTGCTATGTCTCTATGTTGTTTCTGGCTTTCGGCTGAAACGGCACAAGACTGCAGTGACTGTACATGTAAGAAAGTGCGTCCAAGCCACCTTCGGGCGCATACTTGCCTCAGCGATCGACCAGGATCGGGCTTGTTTCTTCTCTGTACAACCCCACCACCCCGTTCTAGAAGGAAAAACACCGGCTTAGATCCCTGGGTTAAGGGCTTTACTGGGTTTCGGAGTTTGGCTGTTCCAGAAATTCCAGCTGGCTGCTTTTCCGTGCCGAGTGACGACACACTGGTCGATGGTTACCCCGGTGTTGGTGCCCCTACTGAATGTCATAATCCTTAAAGGGCTGCCACATAAACAACGGCATATCTCTTCTAACAAAGGAATCCTTCTGTTTCATGTCTCTCCATCTCTTTTCTTAATGATCCTTCTCGGCGTTCATGACTTTAAGGGTGTTTAGGGCCACAAGCTTTCAAAGTTTAAGGGCGTTTAGGAGCTTCAAGACCTTCAAACTGCAAGCGGATTTAAGGGCCGCAAGAAGCTTTCAGGCTTTCCGGGAGCTTAGGGTTCAAGGAGTTGACACTTTCAGACTTTAAGGAGGTTCAGGGGCCGCAAGAAGCTTTCAAACTTTGAGGTTCAGAGGCGTCAAGGAGCTTAGAGGCTGTAAGACTTTCCTTAATGGAACGAATTCTTGCGATTTCAACGGTGACGAGCGGGCACGGGTCGTCGGCTGGCTTCATTCCAGAATTGCTGGCTGAGTTTTTGGCTGTGGGGTTCAGGATCTCAGCCAGAAGCATGCAGCAAGCAAGGTAGATGACCAGCTACATACAAGAGCCTTCCGGACACTCGGGTGCGATCACAAAGACGAAGAACTGCTTTAACCCCGGAAGCACCCACACCGAACATCGACGATTGAACGGAACAGTGCAGCTACATCTGCCTTGAAGAGGCCAGCACGACCGACGTCTGGTGATCAATTCGTTGCTTGAGGCGATGCTCTGCAGGGTGATCATCTTCTGTAGCATGCAGCCGAGCGGCACTCAGTCAGGGAGCACTTCCGTCCTGACGACGTCTGACAAAGGTTGTACCAGATTGTCTTTCTAATGCCTTCTGTAGGTGCGTCAATGCTCCATGAACCAAAGATGCAACCAACACTGCTTCTCCTGACAGCGTAAGACCTTCTCTGGCAGCTGTGACAGCCTGCGATCGCGTCTCCTGCGCAAATCATTGCCACAAGAAAACATTCAGTCAAAACCGCAAGCACATAAATGCGCACGAAAGCGTTCTCCAAGAATGCATTTAAGTGAAGGCACGTACTTCATGCTACAATGATGACTGCGTACGCCATCCTGCGAGGGGAAGATGACGAATGCCGTCGACGTAGAAGACCTCAGCATCAACTCCCCTTCAGCGACACAGCAGGTCGCCCACTTGCAGAGTTGTTGAAGGGTGTGCGGTGTAAACGTGTAGGGCAGGGAATGTAGCGAATTTAGCTTCGTAGGATTGATCCTCAAAGCTGTGGTTGGGATCAGGGCTTCAGGAGTCTCAGTGGCTTCAGTCTCACCTCTGAGGCCTGGAAGATGCTGTTGCTTGTCACGGAGCCGGAGCATGAGTTTGGTGGGGAAGGTCCCTCTTTGCAACACGAGTGCCCTTCTGCCAGAACTCGGGCACTAAGCTCACCGCATCGCTTGCAATGTAGACTTGATCTCCTTAGCCCACACTGAGGCCCACACTGCAAGAGGAGGAAATCATACGCGCAATGCGAGCTGCAAACGATCATGTATCTAATCCTTTGCCCACATCGGCCCACCCCCAAAACGGGAATCCATAACCATTGGGCCATCATGTCCAGCCCGCAGCGTTCGGAAGCCATTCGTTCTGGTTCTCCTAAGACCGAAGGCCTGAAGGCCTGAGGTCACTGCGTGCTGCAGTGACCATACTGGGTGGCAAAGAGAGCGCTTAGACATTGATGTCTCTTCTTGATCCCAGCTTCAGATTCGCTCACCTGATGCGAATGCTCGAGATGCACGTGCCTTAGATGTCGCGACAACCTGAAGCAAAGCTTTCAAAACTGATGCAAGCGTTCAAGAAGCCGTGGTCCAAATCCCATGCTCCCAATATGCTTCATCGCAGTGGCCAAGCATTCAGTACGATGTCTGTGGCCCATTTCTCTGCCTGAGCGACGTCAAGTGGCCAAAAGCGATGTTCTCCGCGGGCCGTGCGCAGGATGCACACAACACATCAGTGGATTCACGGGGGCTCTTGCTTATCACTTCATTTGGTCAAAGTGCCTGGTTCAAAGCACCACTCACAACCGGTTCGGAATCGGGGGCACCATGAGAATCTCCGGCATGTCCAGCGTGTCCTGCAGACGTCTGCAGACAAGATGCACGAAGGTACTCGAGAGAAAGCCTATTCGAAGGCTGCCTTGACTCTTCCAGCCTGCTTCGGCTTCCTGCTCTACGAGGGTATCCACCAAGTGTTTCTGGGATGCGTAGTCCTGGAGATGGAAGTCTCTCACCGAGACCCTTCCACAAACATCCTAAATCTTCGCAGCAGAAGGCCAGATACGAGTGAGCAATGATGAGATGCCCTTTCGCCAATCGTCCACTAAGTCACGAACGCCAGCTAACTTCTGGTGCATGCAAACTGAGAGCACGGGCGGTCCCAAGCCAAGGAAACGGCCACGGGCTCGCACCCCATTGCCGATGTGATCGAATCCTTCAGCTTCTCCTGGTGGGCTGGCGCGGGTCAACGAGCAGGGCACATGTTTGCGGATCTCATAAGATCGAATATGATAAAAACTTGATGCCACATGGTAGAGCTATGGTCTTCACACATATCTGTTTATGTTCTAGAAAGTATTTCATATATATATATATATATGATTAGGCATTCTAGTTTTTCAGTGTTTATGACATCTGCTGTTTGTTCATTGCATGTTGCATACTACATCTTACATTTGTATATTGAATATCATCCAATATCTGTCTAGTATATGTTATATGCCTTATGTGTGTATATATTTACATATGTACGTTACATTGCACATGATGTATTCCATATTCGGTGATACAAACTTTTTGTTACACACTGTGTGTTGCATGTTCTATGTTATATGTCATAGGTCGCACGTCGCATGCCATGTCCTAAATTGTACATTGCGCATATAAATATATATTTATATAATATAGATATACATATACATATACACATACACATACACATACATACACATATACATATACATATACATATACATATACATATACATCTATATATATATATATATAATTTATGTATTCATCTATCTATTGATTTATTTATTCCTTTCTTGATTGATTTATATTATACCCTCCCCCCACGCCCTCCATGATCTACTGTCATGGGGGTGCATATGCTGTGCATTCACATCAGTAAGATGCAGCACGCAATATGAACATCTGAGCATGCCTCGGCATTCTCCCCACCGCTCATAGGTGCAAAGCCTTCAAGCTTGGCTGCGAAGCCTCAGGCTCCAAAGCACAATCCCAACGAGCAATCGAACAAAGCATTCACCAAAGAAGTGTCAGGGTCAGTGCGATTGGATCATGCAAACAATTCCCGGAAAATGCGGGCTGGAACATTGTGCAAAGACGCTTTCCATCGTGGCATGCTCCAAGTGGACACTCTTGAAGAGCTTTGTCTGCTGGATGCCATAAAACAAAGCACCGCCAAAGGAAAAAAGGTACGCGAAGGCCAGCCAGTACACCTGCGAAAGCAGAGGAAATACCGACACCAGCCAAGAGCAAACGTGATGTGCTTGCTGCCAAGCCTTTGTCCAAACCAGCTCCATCTGGCGATGGTGGCCCCACGACACGACGGCGCACAGCATCTGTGGGCTTTCCTCGTCTGAGAGGGCTGCGGCAAACTGGTCGTACTGCTATGGGTCTGTAAACTGCGAGTCTGTTATAGAATTTGTAGGGTTTCTGCATGCGGACCACCAGTAAACCCGAACGAAGCAAACCGACTTGCCCAAACTTGCCCGAGCAGCGGCTGCTTTGCTGCCAAGAATAAGAAGATCCGAACTGACGAAGAGTGCGAAGCCCAACCAAACCAGAAGCAAGGTCCCTGCCCAAACCAGGAGCGCGAACTGGTACCGGAACAGAGCCTTGCGTGACAGCGCAACGGAGTCAAAGCGAGCAAGCTGTGGGGCTTACGCTGCTTAGCAGCGAATTCCAACTGAACGTCGGAGCAGAGCGTCGGCAACTTTAAGTAGACCGATGCTGAAGCCGGAGTCGAAGCCCTCACTTGAGAAGTCAAGGAGCCATAGTCCCCGGCCCAGCGACGTTGACACGAAGCATGTTTGTCGTGAGGGGGTACCTTGTGGCAGGCTCCAGGCAACTCGCCAATGAGCCCATGCATTCTGTAAGGAATATGCCAGCATGCGAGGAGTATGCCCCATCCCCTGTTGAAGGGCGCTGTGGACAGGCTCAATTTCCGCATCCCCGCCGCCATCGCTGTGATTGCACACACGTTTTTGCACGTTTCCAAGGCGGGCTTCACACACCCCAGCAATCTCAGCACGCTACAAATGGATTGCAAGCGGAATGCGCAAATGGCTTTTGAGGTTTCTCCGCGGGCTCGAAGGCTTCGGGAAAGAATCGAGAGAAAGAGTCAGAAAGAGAAAGAAATAGAGACAACATAAGTGAGAGCTAAGAGAGCTCTCTAGAGTTGTAGGCCCCTTGTTGAAGGCTTTCTGCAAGAAGGGCACGGCTCTGCTGTCCCCGGCTGCGTGAGCCGCATCCGTTCCCTGCAGTCCAGGCCATGCCTTGGATATTGAAAGACGCAAAAACAAACCAAACGGACCTCAAACCTTGCGTCTCACTCGCTAGCCTTGTCTTTTGCGCACGTGGAAGTTTGTAGCTGATTCTGAGTCGAGACTTGTGTCGCCTGTCAGACTTAGCAAGGACCCCGTGGCCAAGATACTCAGAGTTACCATACACTCCGTGTACCTCCGTGTTACACTCCATGATTGCTGTGCGCCGAAGCTGCTGCACGCCTTCAGGGTTGACACAAGGCTTCGAGGCGATCAGGCAGTACCATATCACGACGAGGATGGTTGCAATCCTTAGGCATTTTCAAGATTCCATACAATATTATACTTCAGCTCTGAAGTCAATGACAGCGCTACCACAGACCTATTGCAGGGTGCCAGGGCGAAGTTCAACTTCTGAACCCAAGCGAAGCGGTCTTGTTCACGCCGGGTCTTATGCTTCACGAGAGCTTCAAGGAACAACTGCCCTTTTGCTGGACAAGCTTCACCAGCACCACAGCAGAAACAATGAAGAACGCCAGTCCATTCATCTCGCATTCCCCGTCCGAGCGTAAGGAATATCCTTGGTACAACGAGTCCCAAATCTTGATACCAAGTGCAGCTTACACCCGTTGGAGCCGACACGCACTAAGGACCTAAGGATGCGATGAAGTTTAGGTCCTGGCTTGCAGGCGTCCTATGACATCAGCTATTTTGCCAAGCATCCAGGCATGCATTGCTGGCAGTGCTCAAGCTTCTCACCGCTCTGCCCCGGTTTTGCCGGCACGCAATGAGCGCAGCCCTCAACTCTGCAGTGGCGACAAACCATCAGCCTCAAAGCTTCGCAGAGCTGCTTGCATGTTGCAGTATGTTGCACTTTGCAGACGCTGAACCAGACTCACCGTGTCTCACAGCATGCCAATGTGTGCTACATCACCCCGGACTCGATTGGGAACCAATGCAACCGGCCGCTTGTCATCCGGAATCGTCGCGTTTTCCACAGTTCCAAGAAGGCCACACTCCTGGCCAAAGAGATGCTACATCACGTTCCCGCACCTGAAATCACTTAGTCCAGCTGCGGACACTAGGGCCGAAAACACCGTCCTGCAAGTAGGGTTGGAGGTGGAGATCTGGGGTGTCCGGACAGTGCCGCAGTTGGCAGTAAGTGCAGGCGACACATTGTATGAGGGCCTGTCCTTCTCCTTGACGCAACGAAAGTGGCAGAACCTGTTGCTACACTCTCTCGGCATTCCTACACTACACGGAGGAGAGGATGGACTGTTCCAGGCCAAGCAGCTTGTTCCTCATCTCTGCAGCATATGGGCACACCTCCACAAGCTGCCGAAACCATGCTCCGCTCTCAGACTTCTTAACATCAGCTGCCACCAGCAGAAGAGACAGAGGGAGACCAAGGGAGACAGCGAGAGGCCTTGGGGCACAGCTCAGGCCTCGCAAAAATGTCCTGCAACTCCAAGCGTCCAAGCATCCAAGCGTCCAAGCGTCCAAGCCAAGCTCTTGTGACAGTCTTGACAGTCGGTCTTAGGGTGCGAGGATTGGCGCGGCAACGCGGCGCGGATGGGCTTTGTAACTCAAGCTGTAGCATGTTGCGACGCACGTCCTTCTCGCAGAGCGACTCGTCTTCGCTTTGCACCTCCTCTGGCCTGGACAGCGACACAGCATGAAACTGTTATCTATTTGTGCCTTTGTTTATGCTCCCCCAAATTTTACACATCTCTGCCTTGTCATAAAATGCCTCGGCCAAAGCACAGCAAGCCACAACAACGAGGCATGGGCGAGTTTATCTTACAGCCATTTCGGCGCATGCTTCTCACTGGAGCAAGCTCAACTGGGCACCCAGCTTTCCAATGTCAATGTGCACTCGGGGTCCAGCCGTCAACCCCTCCTGACCATGGGTAGTCAAAGCGTCAGGCTGAACAACCGCCGCAAATTGACATTTGCGCTCTCCTGCAGCCGCTGCGTGTGAGCCGTTTGCTGAAGCAGGCTCCGCTGATGGTTCGGGCCTTCCAGACACATCTTGTACCACGTGACAACTTTGACAGCTTTAATTTGCACTTACTAATCGGACTGTTGGCTGAACAAAAACATCCGAACTTTCAGATGTTAGATCTGATGGTATGGCAGGCGGCTCGACACATGCAGTTTTCAACATCATTCGAAGCAGGAATTACGACAGCATTCATGTCATGAAGCATGGCATAGCATGGCATGCGAATTCTGCGGCAACGTTGCGGGGAGCACGTGGAGAGCATGATCAGAGCATGATGCGGGCATACGGTCAGCATACACAGCACTGCACCTCCTTTAGCACCTTCAGCACACCAACCTACTATCAAACACCAATCATCCATCTTCTACCTCCACTTCTCCTCTTCTCCCACATGCCAAATGGTCTGCGTCAGCATCTACAAAGACTGTGGCATTCGTTAAACCAGCAAGTGGTACATGTATGTGTGTCCTGGAGATGGCTCTCGCTGACTTGACTTGCTGAGGTGGGGCCCCACCAGCTTCACCAATAACAGCAGTTCGCAAAATCAACGCACTCAACGGGCTACCTTCGCAGCTGTCGCAGAACTCAGCCGACTGGGGACCTGGAAAAGTCACGCACACTGCAAGTGCAGGGAAGGCGCCAAGATAAGACAGCCTCCGGGGCGACCGGTGGGACACCTTTGAGTTTTGAGCTTAGCAGCTTAGCAGCTTAGCAGCTTAGTGCAACTTTCCTGGCCGCATCTGCAGCTTAAAGTACGCAAGCCTGTGCTGACGCAATGTGCTGCTTTTCACCCTGTGTCAGACAGGCCTGCAAACACGCAGACCAGGAGAAGTGAAAACGTAGCCTGTCCAATGTGAATCACCAAGGGTGCAGCATGCAAACTTCGATATGCAAGAGGTGGCAACAAGAAACAATGGTGTGCGTTCTGGCTCATCCACCTGCAGCAGCAGGAACATCGCGGTAGGATAATCCTGAGCACAGTGAAGGGGCCGCAGCAGGCTGTCAGGAAGAGGATTCAGGACCGTGAGAACCTTGTTTCGACCTCTCCAGACGCTCGTGTCTTGAATGTCAAGGCACGACAGGACCGAGCTGTCAATACGGTCGCCCATGAGTAAAGTTCGAGCCGAAGCTGCAACACGGATCAGGTCCGAAGCAAGAGGACTGAATTGCAAGCCAGCACGCTCTGAGGGTCTCAACAGTGCCCACTATGTTCGTGCCTTGAGCTTCTTCCACGGCCGCCTGTAGCTTTTCATAAGCCAACAGCTTGCCCACTCTTTGCCCAATTCGATGAGCGACGTTCTCCATGATCAAAACTACAGGCCTATAGGCTTGTAGCCTTTAGTCGCATTTGGCTCTTTTGCTGCTCCGAGGCAAAGCTTGCCTTGCACGCCGCTAGCTGCTCGTGGATCTCAGCTAACACCTGGGATGCCAAAAAACAAAGAAACGTGGCCTCTTAGAGTCTTGAAAGTTCTGGTGTAATCTTGCAGTCACGAGCATGGTCTGGAAACTGAACTCCGCTGATCCAGCAGTCTGTGCAATGACAACTCATTGCACGTGGTTCAGTGGCTCCAGTGCTCAGAAATCTTTCTAACGCCTTGCAGTTTGCCGCTTATGTGCCAAGGCGCTTCGTCGATATCCCGCCCCTCCAACAGTTGGGTCACCTATTCAAGGACAGTGGCATGCGGCGTCCCCCTGAGGATTGAGCGCAATTGGTCTCTCCATCCATGGCACGCAAAAAGTCCTGAGAAAGTCGCCTTCGCCTTGAGACTCAGTGGCTTTCCTTTCGCCTTCGGCTTCACCTCAACAAAAACACGCGGAGTCAACATGCCACCAGTCATGCTACGTGCTCCCTGAATGCTGCGAGCAGGGAGGGGCCTCAGGTTTTGCGTCGGCGTCCTCGTCCTCTTCAGGCTCCTCGCATTCTGGCTCTTCAGCCACAAAATGGAGAGAGAAAGCCAAGGAAAGCCCCATAAGAGAAGCCAAACCAAGAGAGAAACAGAGAAAGAGAGAGTGCGAGAGAGTGCCTTGGCCTTGCTCTTGGCCTTTGCCTTCGCCTTCGCCTTCCCCTTTGCCTTCGCCTTCGCCTTCGCCAGATGCAAGCTTCTGTAAACTCACATGTTCTTTGCAACCTCTTCCTCGTTGTTTGCCTGTCTCACCTGTCTCACTGAGCTTCAACCGATTTGCATAACACGAATTCGAGAGTCTGGCCTTGGGACCCGGTTTGGCCTTCCCCTTGGCCTTGGCCTTCGCCTTGCAACGTCTCGGCTGCATGTCTCGGTTCTGTCATTCCATGCACCGTGCACCGATCGGGGGCACCTTGGCCTTGGCTTTCGCCTTGGCCTTTCCTTTGGCCTTTGCCTTGGCTTTGGCTACCTGGTGTTGGGTGCAAGGTTGACCAGCCAACAGATACCCTTCAGAAAGCGCAGAACCAAATTCGCTCAAGGAACCTTGGCTTTCGGCGCCACTGCCTTGTCGCCCTCCTCAGCTTCATGAGTGGGGCTTCTCATGTGGCACTTTGTTGGCACAAAAAAAGCCACCGAGGCCTTCTCGTCAACAAGGGAGTCTTTGACTTCCTCAGCCTGACAGATGCTTGGGGGCGCTATCAGAGCTATCAGAGCTATCAGAGCTATCAACTCGAGGTCCTCCCTTCAGACCCTGCACCCCTCCCACACCTCCGCCATGGCTTGCCCGGCGAAAGAGTCGAAGGTGAAGGTAACCAAAGGGAATCTACGGGATCTCTTGAGATCTCTTGAGCCTGCGCCCACAAAGCTCAGCTCACTGTCCAAACGAGAATGCGGACGACATGCAGAAAGAAGCGCGAGCTCCTGTCGCTCCTGTCACTGTTCCTTTGTTGTTGGTTTGAGGGCTTCGCTCGAGGTGGCCTACTCTGGCTGCATGCCAAGACTTGGCCCTTCGTGACAGTTTCAACGCCAGGCGCTTACAGCTCACTTTGCATGAATCGCCCCAAGTTTCAGGGCGGTAGGCAAAGCTAGCACCGTGCATTCACACGGAAGACCTGCAATAAAAGGATCCATAACAACCAATATGAGCTTGAGAACAGCATCTCTTCGCTCTTCCTGTCAGCTGCCCCAAACACGCCGCTCCATCTCCGAGAAGGAAGCCACATGCTCGTACCTCGCATCTGGTTCAAAATTCAAAACAAACTTTACTGCACCACGCAGTACTGCAAGCAAAGCCTTGTGAGATCCTATCTAGGTCTGTGTGGAAGAGGACGAGGCACCACCTCGCAAGGTTTGGTGATGACGGTGGCCGCCCTCCAGGCTGTGACATTTTGGCGAACTGCTCCGCATCAATGGCAGCTGGGAGGTACCTGGGCTTGCATGATGCTTCTGATTTGCAGCACGCTTCCTTCACAACTATTGGGGAGAACCCGAAGCTAAGCCATCCCCAGAGCCGGTTCGTCCTAGCCTAACCCGTTTTCGAGTGCGAAGCAAGGCTGGCGAGGCGCCCACCCAAGTAGGGTTGCTGCCCGAGCAACTCCTCGAACTGTTCCGAGCCCGCTCTTTGGGACCGCGCCGTTGGGGAGGCGCTCGGGGCCACGCTCGGGGCAGCGCTCGCAGCCGCGCTCGCAGCCGCGCTTGGGGCCGTGCTCGGGGCGACGGGAGACAAGAGCTCAACCGTCACGGGCCCATCATTGCAGAGCTCCACCTGCATCATCGCACCAAAGCTGCCGGTGGACACTTTGCCGGGTGCCAGCTCGCTGCGGCATTTCTCCACAAAGGCCTCATAGAGGCCTTCTGCCTCGCTACCGCCCATGGCTTGGTGGAAGTCAGGCTTGGGCTTCTTGAAGGTTGCAAAGAGCGTGAACTGGCTAACCTCACAAAAAGCATGGGACAAAAGAGACGCGGGGAGCTCAGGCCCGCGCTCAGCATGCCCGGGAACTGGAGGTGCAACAACCACAGCTTCGAGCCAGGTAGCTACCATCAGCTCGAAGCCGTTCTCCACGACAGAAGATGCCCACTGCTTCTTCGAGTCCTTGAGATCGGGCCACAAGCGGATCTTCGAAACCTTTGACGCCAGGTGATTCACCTGTTCCAGCCCATCACCTTGCTCAATACCGAGGAGTAGCAGCAAACCTGAGCATCCGTTCCGTCAACAGGATGGATAAACTTTGTTTGACTGCAGGCTTTCGTATGGCCTTTCTCGGAGCCGCCGAGTACCATAGTCCCGAACTGGCTAAGTACACATTGTGCCCAGCAACCTTTTCCAATCGTGGAGTGGATCTTGTCGTCGATCAGGACACTAGCTCGCGTGACGCGCTGGATCACAAGCTTCATGGCCCAAGAAGGTCTACACCAGGGCGCACCTTGTTCATGGCCTTGTGGTTTATGTATATGTAATATACTTACTCTGCGCTTGCCTGGGCCTCCTTGGTCAAACGACTCTAACTACACTCTACACACTCTATGCCGGCAAAGCTAAGCCAATATGCCGCGACCGCTTTCGTTCAGTACAAGCATTTTCCGCGGGAAGCGGATGGTCGCACGTCCGCAGGATGTGCCCCAATCAGCAAGAGCTTGGGCGCGTTTTAGCGTCGGGCTCAAGTTCGGTTGCTCACGCATTGCCGGTCACCTATCTACTACGCAACGCTGGGGGACGGCTGCAAGTATCGACTTCTGTAATGCTACAACTGAGAAAGTTGGCAAGGGACATAAGAAACGGTGATTCTCGCAGCCAGGCAGCTCATTAGCAAAGCCTTTTGGCAGTATGGTACACGGCACCTTTGGGAAGGTCCGACAAGGTAGCGGGTCGGTGAGTGCCGAAGAGGCGGGGAAAAGGCTGGAACTTATACACTGTGCTAACCTAGTACTCGCTGTACTACTACTGCATCTCTGCGTCTCCAATGCCTATCCAGCACTTCTGAGCTGCTTCGTGTTGCTTCGTTGTCTCGGCATCCCCTCTTGGCACGGAAGCCCCAACCCTGCCTGTGACATGGTGTGATCGTGACATGCGGTGTCTTCTTCCCCGATGACTCAGGGAACCTACCATAAAGCACCGTATAGTCACAAGTCTATGGGTTGAGGCCTTTCTTTGCGGACACATCTTGTGTCCACGGGGCAAGCTTTGGACATTGCGGCCCCCTGTCAGTGTCCGTCAGCGTCCGGGCGCTGATCTGTGCATCAGACAAAGCGGCGGCCTGAGCTGCGAGTCAGGTTGTGAGCCGCCACTGCAGTCCACTCACCTTTCATGCGGCCCTACCTGGCAAAGTGACCGGCATGGTCTGGAGCGGTGCAATGGGGCCTCAAGGTTGAGCGAAGCAAATGGACGTGCTGTGCGGCCATGTGTTGGCAACATCTCTCGATTGCGTGGCCAAGAAACCGCTGTGGATGGGCGCAGCAATGGAAGCTGCCACAGCACCACCTGCATAGACGGGGAGCCTGCACGTTGGCGCGGCAAACAGCTGCAACGTCAGGCCTCTGGCCGACTGGACCGATTTGCCTCACTCACCTGTATCCCCCTCCGGAGAACAAACAAAACCGTTTCTTTCTTAGCAATCAGCCTGCTGCAGGGGAGCATGGTTCGGTGTCAAAAAGCCTTGAGCTTCTCGTGGCTCAAACCGTTTGGGAGGGCGTGAATTGGGGTCTGGGGCCTATTCCTGCAGGGTCCCCTGTTGCTGTTTTCAACTTTGGGCAGGGCAGGCAGTCCAGGCGAAGCAAGCCGAAGCAGCACGAGGCTTCCGTGTTGATTCCTTGTTGTGTCCCCCTTTGCGAGCATTAGACGTACCCCAAACCTATGTGACCAACTCTCTCAAGGAGGAGGTTTCTGCCAGATGCCTCAAGCTCGAGGACCTCACTGGTGGCGCGATGGCTGTCAGAACCTCACATGGGCTGCTGCTTGGCTTCTCACACATTCTCACACCCTACACCCTACATGGATAATGACTGCACAGTACACTGTATAGCCCTCTCTGTGAATCTCCCAAGCCCCCGCCTGTGGACCAGGTACTCCTTGTGTCTGGCCCGCCGGGTACCGACGACTGCAGGAGAGGAGAGGAATAAGTTAGGAAGGTGCTTTTGGAAGGTGTTTGAAAAGGGTGTAAACAAAAAGCCGGAGATAGATTGAAGTATTTTGAAGGCGTAAAGATTCTTCACGAAGGCGCCTGGAAAGAGGCAGCGTCAAGACGTTGGCAGCTGGGACGGCAGGTATTCCGATCCCTGCATGGGCGCTCTGTCTCCGCAGAGCAGGGATGCACGCAACCCGGCAAAAAGCGAGGAGATGGGCAGCGTACGGCAACAAGTAGTGTTCACATTATTCACTGCCCCGTTTTAGCCTGCTCGAGCGGCATCCACGACGCTGGCACTGCGCTGCACCTGCTCGGACCAGGGGCAGGGCGAAACATTGCACAAGGTGCATAAAGGGCCTAGATTGACAGGACAGGTATTCACTGATGAAAAAGATGTTTCAGATCAGATATGCTTGGGGGTCACAATGGCAAGGGCTTTCAAGCGCACCATGGCCCGGCCTTGCGCCGGTTGCCGCAGGCCCGACAGTAGAAGGCATCGAGGCTGTATCGAACCCCACATTGGCTGCAGAAATCCTGGGGGCAGACTCTCTGGAATGCTGGAGAACCACGGCCGTGCGAGGGTGCAAGGCTCCATGCAGGTGAGGGCCTCAGAGGCCTTGTCCGTCTCTGGCAAGGAGGCCTCTCTTCTTCTGCAACACTATATACACGCAAAGAAGGACAGAGAGAGAACATGCGCATGATGCCGAAAGAGCTTAAAAAGCTAAACAGCTGAAAGCTAAAAAGCTGAAAGCTAGGTGCTGAACGTCGAGTCTGCGAATCGAGGTCGTCGACCTCCCGAGCCGCACCGCAGTCACAGTCGGCATGCGGCCCAGTGATGCAGAAACACTTCAGCTTTACACGCCTTTCCCGCGAGACGGAGGCACCTTAAGCGTCAGGCAGCTGATGGCAAGCAAGGCTGGTGGACGGGAGCTAAGACAGATAAGGCTGAACTTGAGTCAGCTTTTCCCGACTTTCCCAAGACACTCTGATGCTCTCTGATGTGCTTCTATTGCTGCCACAGAGCTCGATCCATCCTGCGGAACCTCAGGCACCGTGGACACTGCAGGAAAATGCAGAGAAGTCTCAACGCCGACAGGCTTGTGCCCTCTCGTCCCGCGACACGCAGAACCTCAACAATACCCTCGGAGTTTCCAGGGCCAGGCACGCGGGGGGGAGGGGGTGAAGGGGACACAAGGGGAGCACGAGGTGTCAGCATGGGGCAAAAGCAACAGCAAGAACCTGAGGTTTCGACGGAAGCTGCAGGCGCCAAGGTTTGGACTGGCACCGTGTGTGGGTGTGCTTACACTGTGCCTACTACGGCGACCCCGCGAGGGTCCACTGGAGCTAATTTTCAGCCCATCCGCTTGTAAAGCAATCCGCCCCCTCCTTCAAAACAGAAACAAACATGGCTGGCCTTCTGCGACCCCTGGAGATGGGCTGCTCCTGGCACGGCGGGAAGGAATGCAAAGCGCAAGGAAAGCCGTCGTGGACCCGCAGGAGCATGCTGAACATCTTGAAACCAGGCGGCAGCTGTCCACAAAGCTCCAAAACTCATTTGCTCACCATGTTGCGACGCATGGTGATATGGTACAGTTGGCATGCCTTCCAATTTGACAACCTCCCAACCAGCCTCAAGCAAGCAGAGGTAGACACCTTGTTATCAGGACCAGATCAGCTTCCAGACTGTCCGTGCTTGGTAGCCTGGTCTTACTCCATGCATTGCTTTTCGCCTTGCCCCTTTGCTTTGCTGCGTAAGGCCCGGTCATGGGCTGCTTCCGGCGGCACTTCCACCTTCACAGAGTCAGACTCTGTGAGCAAAGGCTGATCACAGCAGCGAAGGGTGCACGGATGCCTGCCGGACCGGCAGCGATTGGATCTGCACCGCCTGCTCACAAGTTTCTGCAGGCAAGCTGCAACGAAAGCTCAAGCAAAGTCACACTGTCGCCACACTGTCCTTTTGCAACTCCTATTACACGTATGACGAACTGGAAAATGCAACAGCGTGCAGATACACAGCTGGATGACTTTTGTTCAACGAGGCCTGTGCCGGCCGAGTCTCGGAACGAACGGTTCTCACCTGACGCGCATATAGAACTTCTCACCGCGCGCCACTGACAACAACAAAACTACGTTTGAAACTACGATTTGCTACGTGGGGCCCGGCCGCTGGTGAGGAGCCTCGCGAGGCCGACGCCTGAACATTTCACAGCTCCGCCCCAGCAGAAAGAGCCACCCCGACAGCGAAATCTCGGGTTGAACCAAGACGCTTCTGTCGGAGGCACCGGCTGCGGATCTGGCAGCTGCGGCTCCTTAGAAACGAATGTCAGGAGGAGAGTCGGGCATGGATAGGCATGGGAGCTCATTGCTAGTGAAACTTGACCTGTCGATGCTGAATGTTAGGGGTGCTTTGTGAAGCACTGATCTTGCTGCTCTCGCTTCAACTCTCTGCCTGCGGTACCACCACAGACTGACGGGCTGGTAGTTGCGGCACCTGCTCTTCAAAGAGCCCTCCACCCACCCCGTGAGAAGGAAGCAGGGAGCATGCTCTGGCCTGTGAAAGCGACGCTACGTGTGCCGCCACCTGCCTCTCTGGCAGCTGCGGCACCTGCAAGAGCCGTCACATTGTAAGCAGAATGAAGCTCATGTTCCCGTCCTCCACTGTTTTCTAACCATTGAAGAAAAGACGAAGGTGATCACGAAATCACGAACAAGCATGAGACGCAGGAAAATCCTCTAGCCAGCTAAGGGAAGTCGAGGGAACTGGTGTCGAAAAATCGGAAAGTTGAACAGCAGGTGTGGGAAAGCCATGCCTTTGAGGTCGATAACTCTTTGCACCAGGCCTTCAATGCAGACCTTCTTTAGAAGCTTAAGCCTCTAGTCCTAAATCAAGGCCTTCCAGCCCTCAGCCCTAAAAGCCTGAAGCCTGGAGTGCACGACTCCTGCTTCAGATTCCCGAAACTTTCTGGACCCAGTTTTTTCTAAGCATTCGTTCTGATGCTCGTGAAATGGGCTTTTGTTTTTGGTTAGAATTGGCGCATTATGGAAGCACAAATTGGCAGGGATATGTGCTGCTCCCTCCGCTCGGTGTGGGGTTGGTAGATCTGAAACTAACTCTTCTCTTGCCCATGATACTCCTCCCGCATGACCCGTATCCCACCCCCAGAGTATCCCCAGTGCCAGCAGCGCCTTCGGCTGCATCCGCGGGTTTTTTGCCCCATTCTGGGTTTGGGGTTGAATTCCTGGATAAACCATACACCAATACAAACCAACAAACCGAAAGAACACATACCCATCAAACAAAAACTCTAAACCATTGAGCCATTAAACCAATCCTTTCGGCCCATGCAGAAGACTCAATCAAATCACTTCGGCCCATTGGCGGGAAACATTGGTTTAATGAACTGGTTGGTTCAATGGTTCGGTGGGTCTAAAGTCTAAAGTCTGAAGGGTATGTGAGTCAAAATGGTGACGACCTGTTTGCTTCGCATCTTTTCCGTCGGCTGGACAGACCTTTCTGATTCTCGGGCCTGGGCGCTTTCAAACTCGCAAGAAAAATCAAAAACGTCCGACAACATCCGAAAACAGTGACCCGACGGATTGGTGAGACGGGTTCATGCATCGGGTTCAGAATGTCATCGTTTCCCGTCTATTTGCTTTCTTCTCGCTTGGAATTCATGTTTGCCTTTGCGGAAGTCTTGTGCCTCCCCTTCTGTGCTCCGCGCCTCGACTTTTGTCAATTATTTTCCCTGGACTATGCTAGCTTTTTGCTGACTTGGCTGCGCCAATACATCGGCCCTTGAGAACGTGCGCTATCCGATGCTTCGAGTTCCAGGCCTGGATCGGCTGACGCTCTGGCAGTGGAGGGACCTCCGACATCCCAAACCCGTCACAGCTCGTGGGATTTGACGACCCACAATCAGATATCCAACCTCTGCAAGAGACGCCGGAGGCACCACTGGCTGCCGCTCTGGCAGCTGCGGCACCTCCAAAAGTTGAATGTGCGGCAGGAGTAGAAGGTGGCAATCCGCGCTTTATGAAGCACTGATGTTGCTGCTCTCTCTTCTACTCTCTGCCTGCGGTACCACCACAGACTGACGGGCTGGTAGTTGCGGCACCTGCTCTTCAAAGAGCCCTCCACCCTATGAGAAGGAATCAGGGAGCATGCTCTGGCCTGTGAAAGCGACGCCACGTGTGCCGCCACCTGCCTCTCTGGCAGCTGCGGCACCTACAAGCGCCATCGGAGCACGATCGCACACTCTCTGCATGCCATGCATCCCTGCATGCCATGCTGCTCTCTGCCATGCTGCTCTCTCCCCTACGACGAATGGACATGATGCGGTGTCAAATGGTGTCAACATGTAACTCTCTAGCGCTGGGACCGACCTGCGACGTGTCCAGTGACAACCTGCAAGGCCGTTGATGCTGTTGCTTGTGTCCCAGAACAGCAGTGTGGCGTTGGCCGCCAGCACATACATTAGCTTTTACATGATGCAGCCAGTTCGGGCAGCTCTGACCATCTATGGCGGCCTGGGCTGCGTCTGGCTGAGCGGACCGGCGTCTTTGGCCTTCAAGGCTTAAAGGCAACGGCAACTGCAGCGTTGCTTCCATCAGGATGCCCACACTGAGGCCCACGTGGGGGCCCTACACTCTGAACCGATCGGAAGCTTGACTGTTGGGTAGACATCATCTATGACTAATTAACACGCTCTGGGGAGTTTAGGGGTTCAGGCTGCTCTGGGCCGCGAAGTCAAGCTCTGCGAGTCGGGCTTAAGGCTCCGTGGGGGGCCCAAGTGGGCCGCGGACGGCACAAAGCTCCGCAGCCGCGAGGCGCAGCGCCGGCAGCAGCTCGGCGTCCTGAGAAGGACGCAGGCTCGTTCGTCACACGACGTGTCACTTTTCAAAAGTTTCGATGATTTTCCAAAGACTACCGACTCCAGGCCCTGCACGGCGTGGAGCCGGTCACGCAGCTCGGCCTTCGAGACCGAAAAAGACCGTGTCATACAGTGTCAAAACACCGCAAGCTCTTCGGATCTCGGATATCTCGGCCCGCCTCCAATTGCTCCTCCTTGGCTTTCAAGGCCTGAGCGGCTACGAAACTCAAGGCGTAGCACCCAAGGGGTAGCACCCAAAGGTCATCCAAAGGCCCAAGATGCATCAATGCAAAGCAACTTCTCCCCTCAGCATTCGGCATTGACTTTCTCTATCTTTTGCTTCAACTCGTCTTGTAGCGCCTGGGCTAAGTGACTGCATGCTGTAGCGCCAGCAAAGCTTTGGGACAACCGATCCTGTGCCATACACCACAACATTCGACTCAAGGCAACTGGCAGCTGCGCTGCCCCCAGTACTGCCCTGCGTTGACTCGGATTGGCTACCATTGCCTCCTAGACCGAGGGGTTACGGCACCTTACATCTCCATCTCACACGCCTCCTTTCCATCTTCTCTTGTTCCTGCCTCCTTGGAACCCTCTGTGGACATGAAGAAAACTGCTGCTAGAAATTTGACGGCAAGGCTACATACTGGAGCGAAGAAATCCGGAGACACCTGCAATCAGACGACGTTTGGCACAACAACCCAAGCACTGCCGAACTCCCAAACTAACCAGAATTGAGCCCGTGGTCTGGCGTCTGCGCGAGCTTGTAAGGAGCCAATCCCTGAGCTCAAGGCCCCAATGCGAAGCAGCCACTGGCCCTTCCAAGCACAAGTCTGAGTCAAGATTCACCCAAGACACACAAAATGCGAAGGGACTCTTCGTGAGCTCTCTCACCCAGGGCGGCCTCCTTGCATCCACCCTGGATCCTGCGCAAGAAACGCAGCTGTTTCACGGAATTTCTTGTACACAACTCCGCAGCTGCCAACCATGTAGGGTTGTTTCCTGGAGAAGGGCTGTAGCTCGCGAAGTGCCTGCCAAAAGGAGGCCGTGGCTGCCAATCATGAGAATGTCAACTCCAACTTTGCAACTTTGGCTGATCTCGAGTGATGCCATGTCCCTCTCGCGAACTGCGAGAAGAGCAGCTTGCGAGAGAGCAGAGTCTGGAGCAACAAAAAATCGAAGCGGCCACAGCGTTGGCACGATTTGATGCGCGAGTGCCTCCTCGAGTTGCTGCTCTCGCTGGCGCTGCTTCTGCAACTGCTCCTAGCACAGAACAGGTTGCAAGTTGCGATCTCAGCATTAGTTGCGTCACAGCTGGCCCGCAGTGGCACAATCTAAAGGCCCACCGCCTCGAGACTTCCGAGCCTTCCCCCCTGCACCTGGAGCCTTCACTTTGAACCCGCACGGAGCCTGCAGCCCTGCGCGGCGGGGGTCGCCAGCGCCTCGCAGGCAAGATCTCATGCATGGATAAGCACGCTGCAGGACACACGTGGCCCCTTGTGGAACTGCCGCAACTTCGCACAACATTGCCCAGTGCTTGCCGAGGTTAGGCCGCCTTCACAACACGAAGGGCAACGCAACATACCTGAGTTTCCAATCCTGTTCAAAGCGATTCGGCTACCATGTTGTTGAAGAAACTTGCGGCTGTGGATTGGGGGTTAGTCCGGCTGCCTGAGAGACGTTGGCGAGCTTCTCTCAAGCGACGAGCCTACAAGCAAGTAGCAAAACAATCGTCAGCTTCCTCCTCAACCGTTGGGAGCATTCGTGCCTCCCTTCTTGCTTGAACTTCCTTCTCACGGGTTCTCAGGAGGTCCTGCGATCATGGCTGTGATGTACTGATTAACAATACTCACCCGTCGAGGCTTGTGAAGTCCTCTTCTTGCTTGAGTTCCTCCTGGTAGGATCGCACCTGAAAACGGCGCCGCGCGCAGAAATTGCTATCAAGCTTGTCAAGATCTCGCAAGCGGCTGCTGCCAAGATGCTTGAAAGCTCATCCTGGGAGCAAGCAATCATCGAGCACAAGCGCTGAAGAGCTAACTTCCCCACAAGCACCCTGTGATCAACCCGAAGCTCTCAAACCTGAAAGCCCTGCTCAGCATCCTCAGACCCTGAACATCCCTGAACCACACCGAAAAAAAACCAAGGCCTCGAGCAGCAGGCATGGCCGCATCACGGTGAAGCGAAAACAGAGGTCAAAGAACTCTATCAATGTTTCTGCGCACATCTGGCAAGTCTAGGGGAGTGAAGATGCCTGCTTTGGCTTAAATGGGTCGAGGTTCATGAACTCACGATTCAATGTCTGCCCAGTTGCTACCGCTCGGCAGAACTTGAGCCAAAATGCACGCAATCCGTTTTTCGCCACTCTTGGTCACCAAAAATCTGCTACCGAGGCTGGAATCACGTCTGCTTACTGGGGAGCCTTTTTGCTGCTTCTGCACTCAGCATTTCCAGCTTCAGCGGAATCTGCATTCATGGCTTGCCGAGACGGCTACCTGGCACACTTATGAGTCCGAAACCGGGCGGCAGTTGCAAGTTGCAAGTGCTGAGACAGTTGGGAGATCATCAATCCATGCACCGAGCAGAACATTTTTTCGCACTTGTGACGGTATTGTTGCCACTGCCCAGTAGGCACTTGAGACCATAGGTTAAGGAACAGAAACTGCTCGAAGCACTTCGGGCACTCAGATCCCAAAAGTCCAACAAGGCCCAAGATGAGCAGCCCTTGGAACAGCAAAAGGCCATACCACTAGTAGGCGGAGGCGAGTGCCCACAGAGGTGTATAGGAAGAGCGGCTCGCGCCAACTGCGGGACTCCCTCCTAAATCCCAAAGTCCCACACTACAGGCCTAAGCCGCCTCCAGCTCTTCTGGAGAGGGGTAGGCCTCTGCCAATGTCAGCTTGGCTTTGTTCACCTCGCTATCCTCCTCAGTGCCAAAAACGGAAAACAAGGCAGGTTAAGAGTTAAGACCCTCCTTCCTACATGGACCGAAACCAAGAGCCAAGATGAGCCAAGACTCCCCACTCTTGCTGGCCACATAGGGCTTCCGATTGAAGATGCGAACGACCATGGGCTCGAAATGCTCCAACGGCAAGGAGTCGTACTCGGGATCAAAGGCAGGAGAGTCATACTTCTCACAGAAGGTCTCGCATGCCTTCCAGTGGGGGCTGTCTTTGAACCTGTCTCTGGAGTTCTTTTCTTTGAGCTCGAAGGCATCCTGATAGTAGTAAGCTTGGAAGAGCTCATGATGCACAAGAACCCAATAGTTCTGTGGACTGATGTATGGCCGCAACAAGCTGGCAACTATCTCTCCATGATTGATGGGCGACCAAACTTCACCAAGATCATGCAACAAGGCGACCACGACTGTCTCCTCGTCACATCCGTCTCGGTATGCCCTCGTTGCTGTCTGAAGACCGTGCTCATACAAGTCCACTGCTGTACCAATGTTGACCCCTTTCTGATCTCGAAACATCTTCAGGATGCGCTCTGCATTCTGGCTGGGCGATGCCACCTTGTTGAAGCCTCGCATCATCGGGGTGCAGTCCTCCTTTCTGGCCTTCTTCAGATCTGTGAAGGTGGCTCGGTCGTCTCGCTCCTCTCTTTCACGAACCACACCCACCATGGCTCCAAGGAACAAACCACAACCTTGACAAATCTACACTGAGTCTCGAAAGTCTCGAAGCAGCTGCAACATTCAAGTTGCCAACAGGCGTGACCTGCCTTGTGCAGCACAAGGGGGCACCGCTGAGGGAACTCTGGAGAGCTCGAGACCCCGAAGGCCAAGACTGAAATGTTCATTTCTTCGTGCACTGACAGCACATTCTGTCCTGTGATGTTCTTTGCGCGGATAACATGGCATGACAGTAGAAAAGCCTGCATGTTGTTTGCCAAAATACAACACGTACTAAGGTGCCCTGCTGCAAAGTGGTCAGCCTGCGAAAGCTTTGCAAGCTCACGGCATCGCGGCATCGCGGCCTCCGGATGCGATTTTGAGCATCAAGCGGAACAGAAGATGCCCTCTCTGTTGCGGGAGCAGGGAATGCGCCACCGATCCCCTTGCAAGGAATCCAAGGTGTTGGATCTTGTGGCCTATATGGGCCAAAAGTGGTCACAGCAAGCTCTAGGTGGCAAGAGCCTTGACTCTTCGAAGTGGGGAACTGTTGTCACAATTCCGGGGATATGGTGATGTCGCATTGTTCAGCCCTTAGCTGGCCGACGACGCTTTCATATGAAGGTTGAGTGTATGATCAATTGGGGGCACATCCCGGGTTCCGGCTGACAAAACACCCACAAAGACCGTGCGGTGCGCAGCTCCCCAAAGACCAGCAAGCCTCACTGCTACACCACTATCGTCTACGCGTGTCAGCCAGCAGCTTGGTATAAGAACGACGCAGATGCTTTCCAAAGTCTCTTGGCTACTGTTGCTGGAGATCCACAGCAGGAAGCCTTTGATGTAGGGACTGCCTACAATGAACATGTGCTACGCCTTGTGCTGCTTTTGTCTGAAGGGAGACTTGAGAATGCAGGCCAGGCCTTGATCCAGGCAAAGACCTCAAAAGCAATGCTGCTGGCCATACTTTGCTGGTCGTACTTTGCTGGTGATGCCGCGCTGCCATGTGAAGAGGTGCGCACTGAGATTCCCGCTGGAGTGCAGCAGCTCCGAGCTGCACTCTTCGGAGCCCCAACCCCTATCTGCATGCATGCGGGCACTGACCAATAATCTTAGTAAAGCCATTCAGGATACATCCAGCTAGGACTTACTTAGACTTTCTGACCCTTGGATGGTCTAAGATAAGACTTGTGTTAGGCACTCGCTCTGCATGGCCCAGGAACTTGATGACATCCTTCCTATCTTGCAAGCTGGAAAAGCCTAAGCAGGCTTTTACACCTGCAAGGCTGGCAGCAAGCCAGAAACGACCCTCTTCGTTTCGTCTTCAAGCCAAAGCTGCACATTGAGGCTACTGCATAATTAACAACCATATGCTATGTAACTATGTTCTATGTTGGTTCAACGGAAGTTACGACCTGCCGGTCCTGCTTGGCTCACCCCAGACTGGGAAGACAGCACTAAACTTCTAAACAAACGCACCCCGTTCTGCTGCAATGATCTGCGTATTTTGCATCACGCTTGAAGAAAGCGCAAGGTCTTGATGAAGTTCGCCACCTCCTCCTTCTCCACAGAATTCCTTCGGAATCCGGAAGCAACGCAGCTTCAGTCATGAGAAAGAAAACGTGAGTACGTGAGTACCGGCTGGCCCACCCACCAAGCCGCAGCCGTGAGAACGGACGCTTTGCCCACGCAGTGCCAAGACCTGAGAGACGAAAAACAAAAGCACAAAACTGTAAGAAAAATCTGCAAAAAGGTGAGCCTGCCCCCTGCTGCTCTCGGCTTTAACTATCCTACTGGTCTCGTTGCCAAGGCGCAGCTCAAGTCCTCCGACTTCAGCAAGTTCTGCTCCAGGCCGAGCTCGTCCAACTGTGTCTTCGGCAGCTGCTCTGCCAGGACCTCAAAAGCAGAGGCTTCGAAAGTTCGGAAAGCGACGGATACACCAGAGAATGAGCGTCTGCGAGACTTCCTCCACTGGCCTTAAGGCCGGCCCCATCGATTTGGTTGCTAGCAAGCTGGATGGACCTCAGAAAGCAAGTTAGTTTGAGTCCCTAATGTATGATGTGAAGGAAGCAAGAAGCATCTTGAGAAGATCTGCACCCGACTTCAGGGAGGTATACGGCAGCTGCTCCGCGACATTCGTCAAGTCCTCAGGAGTTGCCCCTGAGCTTGCCTTGCCCAGACATTTGCAGACCGTCCTCCAGCGAGAGACCACAATGCACCAGCGCCAGGTCCTTCCAAGCACAGTGCTGTAGGAAACCGAGGCAGCAGGGACAATGTGAGAGGCGTGCTACGTCAGTTAGGCCCAGATGAGCTCGAAAATCAAGCAGCATGACTTAGTGAATGTATATAACTGCAAAAAACGATGTTCATGAAACTTGCTCCCATGCACAAACATCTTGAACGTTCGGCGTGATGGCAGCTGCACCTAGGACCCTAGGAAGCCCTGCAGGAGCTGCTTGGCACTCTGGATCTCCCACTGCCCCTTTGATCAAAGCCCCGTGGCACCTCCAGCACGGGGGCCTCCATGACCTGGAACTTGGGGGGGGGGGAAACAACTTGAACATTCAAGAAACATTCACGAAACATCCCAGCCGCAGAGGACAACGAAGCTGCCTCCGCCAGCACCTCGCCGAGGCCCGTCAGGTTGTTGGCTGAGAGGTGCAGCGTGTTCAGCCGAAGCCTTGCACCGCGTCTTTACGGCGACCAGAGGTTGGCAATGGGACCTGATAAGTTGTTAATCGTAGGTGTCAGCTGGGAGGCAACAGCTTCAGAAGCGTCTGTTAAAACATCTTTGCTGGTCCGATTGCGCATCTGCGATCAATCTGCATCCCGATCGATGGAATTCGGAGACTTTTTCCGTGAGGTCTTCTTGTGAGCGTCATGAGGTTCATGTAGCGGTTCACGAAATGGGTAAAGTAATGGTTCATGTACTGGGAATCTGGAGATTCAAGAGCTCTCTCCCGGCCTGGATGCCTGCTCTGCGAGCAGCGACAGCGCCTCGCGGCCCAGAGAGCAGTCCACCAGCCTGCACGTGTTGTGGGAAAGCACTGACCGGGGGGCGTTGACAATTTTGGAAATATAGTGGCTCTTGTAGCACAGAAAGACCCCAAAGTTCGAATCCCAAGTGCAGCTCTCTACCTCCTAGTGAGTTCACTGCACCTCAATGTTGACAGCCGGCTGGGTGGCATGCAGAGAGGCTGTACAGCACGCACTGCTGCGTCACCTTCGGGAAGTGCTCTCCCACTAGAAGAAAAGAACGCTCCTTTGATGCGAAGAAAAGGAACTCGAGTTGAAATATGGCGACCCTCACTTTGAAATGGAGCAAAGATTCAGGAGACCGCTACTTATGGTTACACTCCACAGCTCATTTTGATACTGGAGTCTTCTTACACACCCGGCTCGCCCGACAAAACCGTCATGGTGGTGGGGAAGAATTAAGTCCAGCTGGTTGTGGATCCCATCTGGTGGCTTCGAAACTTTCCAATCAAAGCTCCTGAAGAATCCGCAGAGAGCATCCACGGAACCGCTTGCGTGAAGGGAATCAGGTGACCCACTGCCTCTTCATGAAGGAAGCCCTGGAACTGCGAATGCACACGTGCGCAAATGCCAAAATCAAATTCCTTGTCGAGGACGGCATTCAGGACCACCATGGGTCACCCTCGCTCAGGATACCCCAAGGTGACCCGGAAGAGGCTCATGAGGTTGCTGAAGAGGCTACTACATCATCCTCATCTACATGAGAGTGATGCTGATGGGCTCGCGAAGGGCTGCAGCCGAAGACCAGGCTGAGCTATAGCAGGAATGCCAAGTCATCCACATGAGACCGGTGCGAGGGAAGCCAGGTTTCTCGATTACGACGAAAGCTACCGGTCCCATACATGGTCTGAAAACGAATAGGAGGAGAAGGGGGACGTGAATGGAGGGGGCCCCGCCACAACTTGAATTATCGGGGTTAATGAGCCCATGGTGAATTCGAACTTTTCGTGGGGGCCCTGGGCGTACCTTTTGCCATTTCAGAAAAGGCCTCGAATCATCTGTCACACAACGATGCAAAGCTCTAAGGAGCCAGCTTTCCTGACGAATGCACAAAAAGACAGGTAGAGCAGGAGGTGAAGGAGTTGACGCAGGAAAATTGTCATCTGCAAAGCGATAAAGGCACCATCCGGATTGCAAAGGCTCGTCATCGAGGACTGTAGTTCGACTTTGCAAGGCAAGCCAGGCGCGGATAATATGTTTTGCCTCGCACCCGGGCTTTACGCGACTTGCGGCCCAGATCCTTTGACATCCTCGTTTAATCCCCACCCTTGCAAGATGGAGGTGGTGAAATGTTCAAGGGATACACGGCTGGGAGCCTTCGCCAGACTGGCAAAATGAAACAAATGGATTGCTGTTTCGTGTTTTTCAGCAACACTTCCAGAACAGCTCAACGTCGATGGGTGCATATTGGGCCCAAGCTTTGGAGTCTAGAGCGGGACCTTGAGCCTTGGGGCTCACCAGGGACCTAAGGTCTAAATTTATCCGGGCTGCTACTGCATTCTAACACCTTCGAATATTGTTGCAGAGGTGTTGCGGTTCCGCTGGATGCTTCTGTCGTTCGGAGTACTTTCCCTGTACCTCCACCAGTCACCCCGTCTTCACAGGCCTAGCTGCGCATTGAAGGAGAGGTCGAGCTCCTCCAATACCACCCTCAGGTCGCTAAAACACAATCGAAAATTCGGCTTAAGTATGCCTCCGAAAGCTGCGCCCTCTCACAGCCGCCGGCTCTGCTTCGGTCACGGCTTCAACTAGTCGACGGACACCTGGCACTGGCGGTTTTTTGAGAACCCTGCAAAGTATGTTCGCATATTTTCAGACTACGTTTGGACCCGCTGCGATGCCATCGGACCCGAGCTGCAGAGGCTTGCAATCTGCCTGCATCACTCAGCTGGTGGTTGTAAGGCAGCTCCAGCGCCTCCCACGCTGTCTTGCAGCTTCTTGCAAAAAGGACTAAAACCTCGTTTTAGCAAACAGTGTTGCCGCGGCCGCGCCTGCAACTCTGCCCTTTTGCCGTGCTCACGAAGGGCCTGCTTCAAGGGCTGCATGAGATTGCACAGAGTTCCGGCAGAAGCTCTCCAAGACTCCAACAAGCGCTATGCCGCAAGCTAAGGCTAAGAGCGGATCTTAGCGGCTTAGCCTAAGGCCTCGGGAGGCCTTGGCCAGTTCCTCGACGTTGCTGTCGCTGACACAGGTTTTCAGCACCAGAACCGGCGTGGAGCCACTGGAGCGCAAAAGTTGGAGCGCAAGTCGGCAAGGACTCACAAGGCCACAAGCCCAAAATGAAATCTCTGGAGGCCAGTTGCCCTGCCTCTTCAGGTTCAGCAGCGCCGCTGCCGAGCGCACGCTGACGGCCGCAAAGGCCTGGCATTCAACACGCAGCTCACAAAGACATGATGGATCATCACACACATCCACTCACTTCGCTCTTTGTGCCTCAGGCAGCAGGCCCCAAACCGCCAGCCTCAACACGGAGAGCGACAACGAGCGACCGAACAGCAATAGATTCTCACCCCCACGAGCCCGTCGAACCTGGCAGGGAGCGAACCATCGACTGCCCATTTGATGGTGGCCAGAATCCTCGCAAGGTGATGCAAAATGCGATCCAATGCTGGCTACGGCAGATCTGCCCAGCAACACGTGACAGCTCCCAGAGCATGTGCATGTTGCTTGCATGTTAAACTTACTCTTGAAATGGCTCGGCTCATCTAACGAGTCTGCAAGGCACAGCTCAGATCAGCTCAGGCGTCCAGGACAGCATTCCACCCGCAAAGAGGCAAAGGACCACAATCTTCGGGGCATCCAGGGAGGCCCCCTGCCAGCGAACATAGCGAAGTCTTGATTAAGTAGAGGCGCGCATGATGGCAGGGAGCGCGGGCCTTGGGATTTGCTGCCTGAAGAGAAGCACTACATGCATAAGGCCAGACCCACGCAAGCCCACGTGGTGCGATGTTTACAGCAGCACAAGCGCAGCCGAGCCCTGCGCGTCTGCAGCGATCGCCTCACCTGGCCAAGCTGTTCAGATTCCTCCCGTACGCATTGCGCGGGTCGCATGCGAGGAAGCCATCAAAATGCTCCAGAGCACATCGGCTCTCTCCTGAGAACTAGACTCAATCCATCGGCAGTGCTGTTGGCCTCACCAGGCAGAGTAAACTAGTAACCATCGGCGTCGGCTGTCAATCTTTCAGGTTCACTCCAGCCATGACGGGCAAAAATAAGAGGCAAAAACCTCGTCATGTGTCTGGGTGAGGTCAAGCAGGTCTTGCTGCGCTTCGCATTCGCCAGTCCTGACTCTCGGACACAGGGTCTGTGAACATCTCACACCCGTCTCAACGGCTTCGTCTTTGTCTGAAGAAGCTGGAGGAAAGCTTGGAGCGCTGCTTGGAGCAAGGCAGCCCTGCTGCGAGCGCCTGAGCACTGGAAGCACAGTCTCACCTTCGAGGCAGCTCTTTACAGGTGAGTTCTCCTTCCTGCCTTGCAAGGCCCTATGTTATATGAGCAACATGGAACCTGTTGGAAGAATGCAAAGCACCCTAACCAGAACCACCTGGCACCATACTCGCCCACGCGAGCGCTATGGCCGAGACCAGAAGCATCAGCACTCCCATCACCTGTGTGCACGGCCGTGAAGCAACGGCAAAGAGAAAGAGAGCGACAAGCGCGAGCAAGATCTCAATTTTTAGGGGGCCGCGTTGATCTCGCCCCACCCCCGCCAAACGCCCCCCCCCCACCACCTCCCACCCTGCCCCCCACCGCCCTCACCCGCCCTTCAACCCTACCTCGTTTGCTCTGTACATGAGCCTGTTACAACAGCATCCCCAAAAAGGGAATGACTGCACAAAGCCCTGAAGCCTAACGGCACCTTCACACCCTCGATCTCCCAGGGCCCAGGCCGAGGCGGGTCGTGTTTAAAACTACTGAGAGCCATCTCTCTTAGCGCAATTAAAGCTCCTCTCAGCCCGGCCTGTGCGGAAGCACCCAGCCCAAGTGCACCCCGGGCACTCCGGGCACTCCTGTGCGCCATCATCATGGCGCAGACAGTCTCGGCTCGACGCCTCTGGTGCCCCTCACAGCTGTCTCTCTAACGCCCCCCTCCTTTAAGACGATGAGGACTTAGCTCTGCAACATATGAGACTCAACAAGACCCAGCACCAAATGGCTGCGCATGGCCTCCACTCTCAAGTCATGAGCATAGGACCTTGCACTTCTTTGGGTTACAGATTTCGCCACATGGGACAAGGGACAGCTCCAGCTCCGGCATCCTTGTATTGCAACCCGGTAAGCCTTTCGGGAAGCGATGCTGCCACTCTCTAAGGCTCTGAATGCTTCGAACTCGGCTGCCATGGTGCGTTTGCACTGGCAAGTCGGGATCAGAGTTCCGTTTCTGCTTCCAGCAATAGGTAGAATAGACACCAGGAACCTGGCAACAACCTAGCAACTAGCATCCTCGCTAGACCTCGCTACAGGACCGAAGCGCCAAAGCTACCATGTACAGTGGAGAGAGTTGCAGAAACGCCGGGCTGCAAGGCTCGTGGCCAGCCTGCACTCCGTGACGGAGTGAGAGACCAATAATACGAACGTGAATCCAAAGTGGTATTTTCGTTTTCTGCATCAGATGCTGCTCAGTTTGGCATTGTTTGGCAAGCAGTTGAGACTGAAAGGACAGACTTGGTCATTGAAATACAGCAGGTTTTGCTTGGACCAAAGCGAACGTGTCGTGGAAAGCTCTCACCTTTCCATCGGATCACATGGCTCGGAATTGACGAACTCCGCGCGCCTGCAACAAAAGCATTGCACCGCAGGACAGGAGACAACACACACAGGGCGCAGATGTCGGGAACCTCGAAGGGAGCAGTAGCGCAGCTTCTGAATGTAAAATAGCACAGGGTTGCAAAGCGCAGCGCATTTTGGAGCACGGTGCTCTTCGAGCAAGCACTCTTTGGTAGAGGTCTAAATAGACAGGTCTACGCCACTACGCATGGCAGAGGTCATTCTGCGACTAGAGTTCAGCAGCGATTATCGGAAGACACCTTTATGGCTAGGAGGGCTAGAGGGTCAGAGCGCAGCTATGACCATGGCCATGCATTGCGGCAACCTGACCTATCAACGGCGCAGCACGAAGCGCAGAGAGAGCAACAACGATAATAACATGCCAGCCAGCAACATGGTAGAGGTCTCTCATAACGCCCCCTGCCGCACTGTTGGACAGGCATGATGATGATAATGATGACGATGATGATGGCGATGAGGATGAGACGATGATGTACTCCGGGTTGCTTCTGACACTGCAACTCTGTACGAAAGGGAAGCTGACAAAGCCAGCTGCAGAAGCAGCGTGGAGTTGCAGTGCGACATGCTCCCCGGCCGACTACTCGCGTGACACCACTCCGGGTTCGAAAAGATGTTACGCTATGCTAGTCTCGGCCTCGCTTTGAGCACCATTTCAGAAGATTGTATGAGATTCTGACATCTGCTGACCCGGCATCTTGAGCGAGTCACCTAATTGATGCATGTGATGTAGCTGAGCACCCGTCCTGACCCTCCCGACGTGTGACACATTGCAAGCCACTGCAACACTTACCGTGCCCAGTAGCCCACTATCCAAAACGCCATCTGGAAGCCATGAGTTGGACAGCCACGACGCTACCTTGCAGCCTTTGGGGGTACGCTACATCTGCGACGAATTTTTCGGGTCTATGCACTCATCGAGGCACGAACAGGCGAGATCAGCGCCTGGCTGCACCGGTCAGTGATCTCAGAGAAGGTCGTTCCACTGTAGTGCCGGACTATGGTGTGCACATATATGCTCTTCCCCACGGTGCCTCGTCAGAGTCAGTCAGAGACACCAGGAACTTTGGACCAGTCCACCTGAGCTTTTTAGTGACATGCAGCGAGACATGTTGTCTAGTCACTCTCACAGTGTCTAGTACTTCTGGGTGTCGAATCAGACTTTGCTGAAGGCAAAGCACGAACCGCACGAACCTCTCTACGATCCGGCACTCTATGTAGCTTGCCTGCCAAGTTCAACGGACGGAAACTCTGGCCCCGCATTGGTACAAGCCACGGGAGGGAGCCAAACAGCGTCGGCTATGACGTCTTCGTCTGGCACGTGGCGGCCTCGACTGGTCTCCCAGACATACCATAGCCTGAGGTTGCTGGCCACGGAAATCGAAAATGTCAGGCACGTGGAGCATTGAATCGGTCGCAGTGTCTACTCAAAAGCTGTCGAGTCACAACTCGCTGTTGCCAGGGTTCTCTGCACCTGGTTCACACTTGTTGCGCGTCATCAGTTACCATGAATGAAGTTGAATCACGGCATATTACAACACAGCTTCTCCTATGACAGGGAATCTTATACGTACATAACACTTGCGCGAGCTGCCAAAAAATGTGCTTTGGACCAAGGGACCTTTGGCATCTGCGAAGCAGTTCGCAACATCTCCGCCATGAAAGCCTTCAGGAGAAAACCAAGTAGGGCGAGAGCTCTCCCCACTTCATTGGAAGTGCGCCAGAGGCCCCGAGGCCCCAAGGCCCCGGCCAGCTTCGAGGTCAAGGATCCAGCGCCTAGCGGTCAGGCCAGCGCGCATCATGGCTACACCATGGCAACACCATGGCTACACCAGGGCTACACCATGGCTACACAGGGCTACACAGGGCTACAACACAGGGCTACACAGGGCTACATGCACTGGCTCTGGCTCTGTGTTCTGGGAATTGAAATTTGCCACGGTACTCCTCCGCCGGCCAGAATCGGATCACGTGATCATGATCCGCCTCCCGAAGTCGAAGTGATTCAAATCTGCTACTCTGACGAGTCAACGAGAATTTGGTTTCCACGTAGCCGCAGCCAGCGTAGCCTTCTTGTAGGCTGGCTTGCCCTCCACGATCTTCACGAGCTCGTAATCCCCTAGCCGAGCACAACCGAAAGCACGCTAAGTTGCATCTTGTTCACTTGAAACTTCTCGGCTTTTCGTCAAAACTACATAGTTGCAGCTTTAGAACGGCCTTACTGGAAGGGTGGCTAAACATCCTGCTTAGTTGCATTTTTTTGAGAGGCCTTTTATGCGACTACCATCCAACCTCTCCTTTTAGGGTGTAGGGTTCGCCCCACGCCTATCTAATCAGCATGCCACCTTTTAGAGCTTCGGGCTTGCACACCCAACATCTCCTTTTGGGATCAGGCTGGCCACCCAACATCCCCTTTTCGGGTTGAAGGTTTGCCACCCAACATCTCCTTTAGGAACTTCAAGAGAACTGTAGAACCACTTAGGGTTTGGGGTCTGCTGCCTAATGTTTCCCTTTCGGCTTAGGGTCTGCCACCCAAACCCCAACATCTCCTTTCAGGTGGGTTGGGTTCGCCACGGTGCAGTTTGAGGTTTCATTTCCCAGGGCTTTTTAGCTTCTCCACGTCCACCTCGCCTGATGGCCTCTTTAGCGCCCCATGCAGCATGGAGCTTCGCCTCTAAGATACCCCTTTCCAGGACTAGCTGACTTGGCTGCCTCAGGGGAGGGCCCTGGGGCCCTGAAACAGAAAAAGGGACAGGTAAGCAAAACAAGGCTACAACTGAGCAACAAAGTTGCAACCAACCCAGCCACCAACACAAGAAGAATGGAATACAAGGCAAGCCCAGTCCTACTTTTTGCTACAGCCCCGCTTTTGATCCGTGAGGTTGCCATTTAGGATAGGACAACCCGGTGCAACCGTATGATCCTCTATGCACACTGGTCAATTTGCAATCTTTGCTCCTTGTTCCTTGTTTGTTGCGTGCATTGTCCTGAGTGCATTGAAGCGACCGTTGATCGTCGAGTTCTCCTTGTACGGGTCCCGGCCAGATATTCTCACGAAGTGCGGGGCAACAAACCTAGCAAGGTGCTTGCTCAGCAAAGAACGACATCGTGCTTCGCAAGATCATCTAACCAGAAACAAATAGAGTACAAATAGTCAGAGGAGCTAGAGCAATCCTGAGACCCAAAGTGTACTGACAACCCACACAAAAAGTCTGCTGCGCAACGAACGCACCGCTGGATCCGTGAGGTGCCGCCCGCGGCTCGTCTCCCAGACGTGCCAAACCTGCGAGAGCGCAAGATCGAAAAAAAGAACACAAAGAGCCGCTTCTTTTCTGTCGCATATCACACCTCGCATCACCTCTCGCGTCACCTCTCGCAGCATCTTGCATCTGCGCATCTGGAGTCTGGAGGTCCACGAATCGTTGGACCCTGTTTGTCAGCTTGTCAGCTAAGAAAGGCCACCTTTGGCTTAAACCATAAGATGCCCCCGAAGTGTCTCAAAAAATCTCTACGCGCGCCTCCCTTTGGTGCACCCTTCGCATCCCAATGAAAGCCCGAAAGCCCGACTTTGTTCAGATCAGGAACAAGATTCAAATGACCAGGATGCATATGCGCTCCTGTTCCTCGGCATCGACGCGAACAATCACCCGGCAGTGCAGTACTCGTTTGTGAAATTGTGAAACTTGCAAGAACAACATCTCAATAAGACTAACCAAAGACGAAAAGTCAATGGCCGCAGCAGTCAAAGTAAGTTGCTTCCCTGCCGTGCCCGAAGTGACCACCATTTGCAGCGCGTGGCCGCACACTGCCAAGCAAACATCGCCAAGCGGCCAGCTGCTTCTGCGTAGGCATTGCAGATCTCTGTATCTCGCCTTCAAGGAGCAGCCTACAACTAGTCAGCCAAGAAGCCCGGTCATTTCAGCAAGTTGCGGCAAAACACCGTACCCGCTACAGAAGCGTGCGGTACTCCTCTGAGTCAGAGTTCTGGTGCAATGGCGAGCCCGGCGTGGTCCAACTATTGGGTGTTTCGCAGAAGCGCTCATATCACTGCCCATCCCAGAAGAGGTTAGGGGGAGCCCTTCCGGTCCGGGGCACAGCTCACAGGACGCATACCACAAACAGAACCCCTCAAAAAGTGCAACCGACGCCAAGAGCCCACCGCAGAAGGGCCGCTCTTGCGCCAAGATGTTGGACATCACATCGAGTGTGACCACAGCTATAAGCCCGCGGTTCAAGTTCAGGGCTTGATGTTTTGGTGAAAGGCAGGATGTGGCACGATGCAAATCGCTACACATGTAGGACTCACGGATCAGGGCTTAAAGTGAGGGGTGTCCGGGCCTCGCCCTTGCACAGGATATCGCAGAACCCAGCTTAAGTCGCAGGTTTAGAGTGCAGATTTTGGGTTGAGCAGGACCCAGAAAGACACGGCTACAAGGCGCACTTGGGACTTTCGACAAGGACACTGCGCTACCCCACATCCCTGCCCAACAAGCCCGAAACAGCCCTAAGCCTTACACGCTGCAGTCCGAGCCACAAGCCATCCAAATCTATGAGCCACCGCTCCTCCCGCGGCCAGTAGCGGATCGCGTGGCCGCTGCCATCGGCCTCCGGGAAAAGGTCGCACTGGGACACAAAATCCGAAAACCAAGCTTTCTCGCGCCTTCATGTAGGCCGGCTGGCCCGCGTGGAGACCGACCTCTAGCGGCTCTAGCGCAGCCAAGACGGTGCCAAGATGCTTAGGGGGGATGCTTGCAGGCAAGCGTCTAAGTGGTAGCTGCCGTTCCTGGTTATGCTTTCCAGCATCAGCAAGAATGTGTTGCTGAAGTGAACAGATGCCCTAGATGCAACATCGCGATACATCAAGGGAGCCTCTGCCTTCAAGTCATGAGCTTCTTAGCGCCGTAGTGCAGTTCAGATGCATCGCTGTGTTTTCCTTTGGCGACTCTCGGCCTAGCAACATCACATCACGTCACATCACGTCACATGACTCGCCTGACATGACATGACCACATGAAAATAGAGCAGACAGCAGAAGTTGCAAGAGCTCGTTGCTGTTGCTGAGAAGCCCACCGACAACTTCGATGACAGATGGTGTCACCAAAGTGCACAGGCTACTGTCTAGGATGTGGCGCTGCCTCCCACAAAGCGTAGGGCTGAACTGGCTGAGATGGCTGAGATGGCCGAGTCTGCGGACAGCGACACTTTGGCTGGAAGTCAAACGCATGTCCGCACCTGGTTGAATCCCAAATGTGCCACTGCAGGCGAATCTCACCTTCGACAGCTACTGTGGGTGCTGCATGATTCCGAAAACTCGGATGCCCCACCAGTGGATCTTAAGACCCACCTGGATAGCTGGTGTTCTGTGCATCCGCATAAGCATTGCAGATATCCACGTCTCGGAGACCTTCTAGGTCAATGAGCCACCTGCTGACAGTCGCCCACGCAGCACGAATGCCCAAGAGCTAGCCGACTAGCTGAAGCGAATTGCTGCGGTATGCTGCAGATGGTGATCAGGGTGTTGCCTGAAAGACTAAGGTACCCTGCAATGCCAGAAAGGCAACGTACATCTGGACAAGCTGCACCGCTGGCCCAAGAGACCAACGTGGGGGCGTGTGAATACGGCTTCAGAAGCTATCTGAGATTAGAGAATATCAGAGAGCACTGTAGACATCATTGGCAGCCCTTCGCCTGGCCTGTCTCCGACTCTCCAATATCCTTGTATACTGCATGATGCATCAACGCCAGCGTGCTCAAACGACATGAGCTCTTTCACACCAGTTGGTCCAAGATGCGGATGGCGTGCCTTACCACAGGTCATGGAAATGGCATAAATCCGACAAAGGAAGCAAAGCGCTGCTTTGCTGAGCAGGCGGCTTGAACTTGCCTGCCTTCTGGTATGCAACTTTGCCTTGGTGAAGTCCAATCAGCTTGTACCTTGGACGCGTCTGTGTGTGTGTGTGTGCTGAGAAGCTCCCGGCAGCAGTCAAATAGCCAGCTCTGTCTACGTCCTTCCTCTACAAACAGACTATCGTACCATGTCACTTGATCGTGCATCATGCATGCAGTGCGCGATTGTTTTTGACTCGCCCATTGGTCTCTTGTCTGTGGAAAGTCCAAAAGCCACGGCGACCCACTGGTGTCAGCCGACAATGTGACCCGCTGAGCCCGCGATCGCACGAAGCTTCTTCTTGGATTCCACGCACGCTTGGCGAGACTTGCAGGAAGTTCGGCAGGCGAGAAGTCACCATAAGGCCTGCGTGTTGCTTTCTGCCACGCTTGCTTCTGCAGTGACCCCCTCTGTTCACGAGGGGCTTCCTGCTCAAGCTCTGCAAATGATTGCGAGCAAGTCCAGTACTCGCTGCCGCTGTCGCTGCTGACATCCAGACCTGCCACAGCACCCGGTGCTAAGTCATCGTCCAAAGAGTCTGATTGCTGCCTCGGAGTCTCTGATCTGAGCGGCATGTGAAGCTTGCGTATAATGCGTATACCAGCACCCTCAGGTTGAACATTGTGGCAAGGCATGTGACTCGTCTGATTTTCTGTTGTGGCTGCCACCTGGGCTGCGCGCCAAATCTTTGTGGCCGCACGGCCGGGTCCTGATGGTGCCCCCCTTCTGGCAGTCACTGCTCCTGGCAGTCCTGGCACTGCATCCTCGAAGAAGGTGCTCCATGCATCCAGCTCATTCTCAAAGTCGCGCGAGGAGCCACTTGGGCCCTCCGTCGGACACGGATCTGGTGGCCGAGGCGGCGGTTTCCTCTCGCTCTGCCCCAAATTCGATGCAATTCTTGAGGTTGTTGCGGTTGTGCTGTTCGTGTGGGCAGCGGTCTCCTGTTTACAAAGCCCGATGCCTCGGAGTTTCCGAGCGGGAGCCAGGCGCACCAACACCGGTGTCCCGTCACCTGCAGCATTTGCACCACATTCTTCGTTGAGGCCTTCGCTGGCTCCGTCAGCTTCGGCCTCAAGCTGACCCAAATTCACCAAGTCATCGAGGCTTGTGGCTGGAGCGTCGTGGGTGCTCTGGGCAGGTGGGCCACTTTTCAACCCATCCATGCCCCCCATGCCATCCATGCCTTCCTCCGCTACGGAATCAGTTTCGACTCCGAGGCTCTCCGGCACGGGCAGAGACTCCATGTCTGACTCGCTGTCGAGCTGACGTACCGGAGCCCACAAGAATGTGGGAGGGCAGCGTCTGGCAGCGCAAGGAGTGGATAATGGCACTGTGTGACTGAAGGGGAACCGCATCTTTGCCGTTGCAACCGCAGGTCCGGTAGGACCAGTAGGACTAGGACGGAGGGAATCACACCGAGCCGGATGCAACGCAGTGCTCGCAGTGCTCACAGTGCTCATGCTCTGGGCGCTCGCGGCTTCCTGGCACTGGCCTTGAACTGCAAGCACTGGAGTTTTAACAGGCGCAAGTCGTTCATATGCATGTGAATTCGCAGGATGCGCAAGATGGGCAGGATGCACAGGATGCGCAGGATTCAGGTCGCGCTCGTGTGTGACATGTGTGCAACTTCTGGGTGGCACCTGAGCTGTTACCGTTGCGGTGATGGGCCGCGGTGGGGGGAAGCGTATGGGTCCAGGTACGCAGCCTTTCTCGGCCGTCCCGGTATTCGGTGGGGCCACTAAGAGAACCGGTTCAAGAATGGGCTGCCAGGGGTGCCGCGCGCAACCGTCAGAGTCTCTGCCGAAGCTCGGAGCAGAATGTATTGAACATCCAGAAGGGGAAGAGACCTGTTCAATGGAGGACAGCAAGTCGTCACAGGCGCCGCCGAGATCCATATCCATGGCGTTGCTTTGGCAACTGGGCTGCCATGAACGCATACTACTGCCGAGCCTAATAGTGTGGGTAAACAAGCGTGGGTAAACCAAACTCACCTTGTCAGCCATATTTCAATACATCAGCGTTCAAGGTACTACAAGTAGAGCCCAACCTGGTGGTACATTTATGCATTCAAGGAGATCCGAGAAGTGAAGCAGCCCCACGTCTGACTGGAGAGGACGGAGGACGCTGCAGGACACTGGCACACAAAGCTGTCATGTCAAGTCTGTTCTGTTCTGTGCCGTGCTGCTCGCCATTCAAGGCCCAGTTTTCCTTTCCAGCGGCACGCCCAAGCACCTTGGAGATTTGATTCGTTTCCAGATGTCCAAAGGTGTCTTCACTTACAAACTGTCGAGACTGCGCACCACTTGCATGGTGGTGCAACATGCCCGTGCGAGAAGGCGCGCAAAACGCCCGTGCAGCAGACCGGTATCATGCAAAGGTCGTGGCAAGTTCTGAAGTGTCTGCAGCCGAAAGGCTTGGATAGTGTTTGGTGCTGCTGTCACAAGAAACCTCAGCGCACTGGATGTGCCACGGGACACACAGGCTCGAACCAATATTCACACAGCAATGTCAAGAAATCACTTGACTACAAAAAATTAGCGGCTCGTGCATTCTGAGCTGGAGAGACGGGTTGCTCAGGGTCACGGACATGTTGCCGATGCTGAGATTCCCAAACTCGCCACCTGGGCACGGAATCTGATCCGCGCTATGACACTTGCAACTCCGCATCGGCGGCGGCGTTCACGGCTAAGTGCCCTCAAGGCGCACGAGCTCCTCGACAGCCGGGTGTCTTGCACCACCTTGCTCCGCATAGGCGTTGCAGATATCAGACTCCTGCTGCTGTGTAACAACGCTCGTACATGCATGTACATACACTGCGCGACAGACGTTCGAACATAGCAAGCTTCCGCTGCAGATGTGGCCAGGGCATTGCCAGTTGCATGCTGTGTTTCAAATTCTCGGCTCCTGAACACCCTCCCTGTCGATCAGCCAGCGGTCAGCAACAGGCCAGTACCTGATTACGGTCCTTCAAGGTTGTGTTTCGACCTTCCACTGAACCGCAGTGACATAATATCCCAGACTTTGGTACTCGTGAGGTTCAATCTGGCAACATCCTTGTGCCCGGCTTGCGATACGCAGGACGGCCGTGAACCATGCCAATCCTTGCTGAGATAGAGAGGCAGGAGATAAGAACTTGTGGAGTGGAAAGATGACACCATACATGATGATCCTGCCTGTCTTCATGCAATCGGGCCTCATATGGTACTCACCTTGGAGATCCTGGTTTTCGCGCTCCTGCGCTCTCTATACGTAAGTTTCTGAAGCGCAAGTCACTTCGAGCTGTGACTACTCTTTGCACGCAGAGTCCATACAATCCATATGCTCCTTGTGACGACCCACAACATTAATCACCAGCGGATCATCGGGTTCGGCCATCCTCGAAACAGGATTCGGCAAGTCTGACTAGCCCCTCCAAGTGACCTCAGTCACCTTCACAGTCACTTCACTGGCGACCTTCGACACTCGAAGGCGCACCGCCCGAGCCCCCGGTTTTGAGCCGAACGCTGAGGTTGAAAAAGGTCGCGCCTCAAGCGAAAAGGGAACTCATGCTGAGATCAAGATGTTGCGTCTTAAACTTTGTTAGAATCATGAAAGAGCGCTGCCATTTGAGGCAGCCTCTGCGAACCTCGCTCAATGAGAGTGCCGACGCGGGATCCCGGAAACCATTGGAAACCCCTCCTTCCATTCTTTCTCCCCCGAATCCTGAATCCTGTCGAGCAGCGAAGCTGCTACGGGAACCTGCATGAGCTAAGATGGTTCCAGCTTACAAGAAGCCTTCCAGCAGATAAGCAGACGGTGCGGCGCCGCCTGCTCCCAAGCTTGTTCGCGCAAGAGTAGGCGGGCATCCTGTCGCAGCACTCTCTGTACATCAATTGCAGTTGGGATGTTTGTGCGCGTGCGTGTGCGCGCGTCGATGAGATGATCTCTTACGTTTGACCACGCTCGAAGTCCTCGCAGGTAACTTGCTCCGTGGCTGTGTCAAAGCCCCAGCATCTGCCAATCCATCGAAGAATACGCTTTGTCTACGATCAGCCTAAGAGGTTAGCCTGAATACTTGGGGCAAAAAATGAAGCATCCAATGGAAGGCACATACCAGCAAATCATGCCACAGTAGCTCGAAGGAGCGGACGACGAACTCTTCCGAGCCACTGAGTGGGGCGGTAGTACCGAAGGTCTCGCAAGGTCCCTGCCAAGATCCGGGGCATCAAAGACCCGCCACCAGCACCGCCCAAACCACCCGAAAGAACATCACGAAGACCCGTAAAACAAGAATTCCTGTCTGGCTCCCACCACTCTCAAACTCGCAAGGCGCTGAGGCTCCCTTCAGGAAGTCTGCATTGATCCAAATTGCAGGAGACCTGGACTAGGGCATAGGCATGCACAGGCGGTAGAGGGTCCAGAGATGGGCGACAAGGCTTCCATGCATAACACAACGCCAGGCCATGAAATGTTGAGCATGCAACAGCGCACAGTGCAAACTCTTTGACAGCCATCAGCATCCCGGCGCCATTTGTTGCATTGTAATGTCGCATAGCGCCCCCCCCCCCGTCACCCTGCCTGCCCCCTCCGATCTTCAAGCCGCCTCAGAGGTAGGTGCTGAGGTGCACGAAGACTATCCAGGCGAGCTTGATTGGGAACTGGAGGAATGGCGCTCAGTGTAGCTCTGAACAGTGGGCAAATCCACAGAGCACCAGGAGACTGTCATCTCAGGCGCTCGCCGCTGTCAGCAAACAGAAAGTACTGGTTGGTACCAGCCTGCCACAAGCAGCCAGCAAGCCCATCACCCATCCCCGCTAAAGGACCACGCGCTCTCAAGATGGCAAGTGGCAAAGCTTGGGAACATAGCCAGCTGCACCCATGGGTAAACTTCGATGTCCTCACCCGCCTCCAATGGCCAGACGCTCCATGCTCGGCATTTAAAACAGAAGTAGTCAGATGCCTTTAGACTGTGCCCACTGGACACATGGGGACGCTTGACTTTCACAACAAGGCAACAAACCTGGCGGCCACAAACCATGCCTTTTCTATCTTTGTCCGCCCCGTGCCTCTACAATTACTTTGTAACAGACACCTGCTACGTTGCCCATACCCCTATATGGTCGCCTGAGGGAACAGAGTGTCTCTGCAAACGAGCAATCATCTCGACAAGTTGCTCTGCACATGTTCTCTCTCGTTGCGAAATTCACGGAAGAATGGTGCTTCCTGATGCTTCCTATTCAAGACTTAGGAACAGCCATGATGGCCATGTTTGGAATCCCAACCTGCTCGCTAGCCCATCCCAGGTCACTCCCACACGGATTGCACGCAACACGAGAATGAGCCTCCGTGCAAACGAAGCGGAAGACGAAGCAGCTGGGCTGTCCAAAATGCTGCCGGCTGGCAACCTTCAACGCTTTAGCAACACACCACAAGCAGCAGTGCTCTGAAACAGGTCAGTAAACAGGATAAGACAACTTACGACAAGGCACGAAAATCATCATGTTGAAAAAATCAGTTGCGGAAATCACTCTACGCTTCGCTGACCTGAGGAACACGCATGCCAAGTGTGCGAAGCCAGCGCCCCAAATACGGAGCCCTCTGCGTCCTCTGGGCGAAGGGGTCACAACTCGAGCTTTTTGCAACATGAATGACAACAGTGGCACACAACACTGCACAGAGCCTTAAGAGTCATAGTAGATTACAGCAGATCTTAGCGGATCATGGCGGTGTGCGGCGGTCAAAGGATCCCAATATTCCACTGAGTCTATTTCGCTGATTTGCTGCTTTGCCGTTGCTTCAAACTAGGATGCAAACAAGGCGCCCCAAAATGCATGTGATTTTCTAGCGCAACACAGGAAAGGATGACTGGATAGTCACTCAGAATCTGACACTTGCTTCAAAAGGACACCGAGGAGCAGTTCTGCCTTAGTGTTGCCCGGTTAACTCCAAACATGCCTCGTGCAGTCTTTCACCCTTCCGCTTGGACAAGTGGAAAAAATTGACGGTGGTCTGGTTGTGAGTGGTGTGAGTGGGCGGGACAGGCCCCGGCCGAGTTCAAGCTTCGAAAGAAATCATTGCAAGTGCCGTAAGCATCTAACAGCAACACTGCTCTGATTCGGCTGATGATGTACTGCACCAGGGTGAGTTAGTGAGTGGGGTGAATGAGTGAGTGGCAACTCGAGGGAAGCCGTGCCGAAAGCGCTATCCCTCCCAGCTTCACAGGAAACTCCGTGACCGAACAAGCTGCCAAGCGCCACGTGAACGAAAGGGTGAGGAAAAGAATCGCACAATCGACGAGGCAACTAGCGTGATGAGTTTGAGGCTCCGTGCGCTTCGTCAGGAGCGTGCGGAACAGGCATCAACATCCCAAAAAAACGCAGAGCAGCCATCCTAAATGCCCCCAACATCCCTGCAGCCCAGGACGCAGCAGCTGCGTCATGTCGTGGGAGGCAGCAAAGTGCGCGCACTTATAAAGTGCAAGGAGGCGAACACCGTGCCAGCAAGCAGCGTACGCATGAAAGGCCCAGCAGGTCGCCCAAGGAGCGAACAGCGCACGAGCAAGCAGCGCGCTCACACAGCAAGCAGCAGCGCACGTGAAGTGCATGGCCCAGCAGAGCAGGACATGTGCGGGCTGGTCTGCCTTGCAACCGCGGGTGTGATACCATACCACACTCGTGAGCATCATGGGACTCCAATAAGACAGCAACAGAGCTTGAATCAAGGAGGTGTCCTCAATGAAGATCAAGGTCTCCCCCGGCCAGGCCTCCATGCTTAAGCGCGGCTTCATGCTCATTTTGTTTCTGAATACATGCATCTTAGTCTCTGCATCATCCCGCATCTTGTTCTTACGTGGCACGTAATCATACAAATGAAGAAGTTGTATGAAATAACTGATGATGCAACTAAAGTATACTGCGCCAGCGAAGACCCCAAACAGAATGTGTCGAAAAATGCCCTCGTGCCGAAAGTTGGGCGCAAGAAGCCAAACAAGCTTGGGACACAAGAGAAGTTGGCTGTCGCACGGAAAAACGGGAAATCTACCGGGCTTGCCCCGAACCGAGCACGGAGAAAAAACATGCCTGTTTTCGCGAGGGTCAATGCTACAGCATACGCAAGGTGGGAGTGCGAAGAATTTAACTTCAACTCGAGATTCCCCATGCACCCTTCCAGGAAAAGATGGACTGCACCGATGTGAGCCCTCGGCAAATATGTCACCTGTGTTTATGCATGCGGTTGACACTCCCGAAAGCCAAAACTCTGGAGCCTGAAAGGGAGCTAGGAAGGGGGCCAAGTTGGTCGAAATGGAGCCATGAAGAGAGCCCATCCGACAAGAGCCCGAAAAGGAGCCATGAAGGGAGCCCCAAGTTCGGCGGCCGCGTCCCACCCATCCTGCCACCGCGGCCCACCTCATTTCTGAGGAGAGAACCCCGTACCTGTATCTACATTTTGTCGGCTTTGATTCTGAACTTGTTGGATTTTCAAGGTATTGCAATGCTCCAACGTTGTGACCTCAGCTAATGCTAATCCGCAAGCACTCACATCTTGCGTCCTTCTCCAAATGCCCCTGTGAGGGCTTCAGTCTGCCAATCCGCATTTTCAGTTTCCAGATCGTTCCCACTCAACATCTTCTTCTCGAGGGCTTCCGACTCCCCGTCTACCTCTGAGGGCTTCCTGCTCGCCATCTTTGCAGCTTTGGAGTGATGCAGATCTGCTGTGGGCTTCTGTTCGTCGCCTGTGACTGCTTGCGCCTGATGCTGTGCACGCAGGCTTGGACGGGCACACTCGTATAATCATAATGATGGGGGAGCCTACGTCCTACAAGGAGACGCAACTCTGATTCCTGAAAGTCATGGTAGTGGAGGCCCAAAGACAGCATGCTCAGAACAGAAGAACCGAAGACATCCTTACAATCGGAGCATCTTGGAGCAGCTTGGGCCTGACACTGGCGAAAGAATGTGCCGATGGAGACACCGTGGACGCGAGGGTCGTATAGCAGCCTCCACGCGCTGGCAATTCCTTGAGGCAAAGTCACATGTGCCACGACCCATCACTCAGATGAGCATTTCTTTACGGTCTCAGAGCGCAAGTTTTCGGCAGGTTCTCCCAGCCAGGAGCTCCATGAACATAGTGGCAACGCACACTGGTGCTTCATGCGGTGCATTGAGTAAACACTAAAGAACACTAAGCTAGCAGCGGCAAGAAATGGGTAGCTGTGGACGGATAAGCCGCAATCGGGCCTGGCGGAGGGGCGGGAAGAGGCCAAGGTCAGGAGAAACTTGACCTTGAACGAATGAGCTCTCAACTGCTTTCGCTCTTTCACAGGAGGCGTTATGACATTCACGCCAGCTCAACTTTGGAGCTGTCGCAATCCACGGCTTCACAGCTGTGCTCAATCTTCGTCAACTGGTGGGTAGAAGTAACTTCTCACGTCCAGCACCATCGTAATGACCTTGCCTGGAAATGTAAAGGTGTCTTTTCCTTGGCTGCAGCTCGACAGGACTCGCTTCCATTTCCTTCAACGTCCGGCATTGGGTCTGCAAATGCGGTGAATACTGCCCAGCAAATGCTACCACAGATACAGCACCCACTGCTGTCAAGATGAGACGAATTGAGCTCCGAGTGTCCTCGGCGCAACCTGGTGAGGACTTCGAGGTCATAAACACCCTCGCAGTCCAAAGCCCGGAAAAAGGGATTGTGTTCTTGCTCCTGTCGTGTCACGCCATGTGCAGCTACAAGAGCGTGAACATCCTTGAACATATGCGAGCACATGTGTAAACATTTGCGGGCCTCCGATAAGGTGGAAGGCACCGTCGGCAGGCCTTCATCTCTTTTGGCCTTGGCTGCCTCCAGGCGTTCGTGCAAGAGCTCGCTCGACGGCTCCAAGGACAGGGCATACTCCAAATTCCCGACCTGACACTCCAGCATGGGATGGCAGGGCATGCACCGAACAGGCGACAAATGAGCACTGAACGAGAATGTCTTGTGATCTGGCTGCTGAATGTTTTTGGGCGTGCGCGCCGTGTACTCGTGGCCACAGAAGACCCGCGTCTCTCCCGGCAGCGCTGCCAGGGCTTGCAAGGTCCGGCGCATCGACAGAGCAGTACCTCCAAGGAAGAGTCCCCCATCGCCCCCCACTGCTCATCAGCTCTTCTTCCCCGCGTCTGGCCTTCCATAAACCGGCCGCAGCCGGCAACAAAAAGAGCGTCTCCTGAAAAGAGGCATGGTGCCTGACAGCACCGATATCTCGCGATCTGCCATGCAGATGTCCACAAGTTAAGGGAAGGCTTTGCTGAGTTGGTTGCCTGGCCATCGCTGGCATCCAAGAAGAAGCAAACATGGCCGCGAGTATGGCATGGGGTGGCAACGCAGCGAAAGCTTAGACCTCGCACCCGAAGGCAAACTTTGATAAAACACAGCACGACCTGGACCACGACCCGCCTGCCACCTCAATGCACTCCCCATCGCGCACTGGGCGTGTGACGGCCGGAGTGCGGTCCTCGGTGAGCACGAAGTATCACGCTGTCGTGACTCTTCTTCAAGGCTTGAAGCAACTGGCTGCTTTGATCGAAGACAGGGATCGGCATCCCGCTCCCCAGCAAGCACCTCGAGGCCAGGAATCGCCGTCGCAAGAAACGCGTTTCCGCCTGGCAAAGAACTGCTCAAAAATGTGGTGCCTAAGGTTGCGCGAGGAGATGCAGCCGAAATGGAGAGCATGAAGCCTGAATGGTCGGCATGGTAATGAGTATTGAGCACGGCGACGAGATTGATCTGACAGCGAAATTTGCACGGGGGCTCTGACTCCTTCCCCATCCGCACCGTCTCTCTCCCATATGATTCACTTAAGAGGGGCACGGTTTGCAATGACAAGGAAGGGTTGCAGGGTGCGTCTCTCGCCTGGAGACCCATGGCCCACAAGCAACAAGCCAAACACAACACCTTGTGGTCTGTTCCAGCAATGAATGCTTAGGCCGGTTTAAGTATCCACGAAGTCAGGACTTGCAAGCCTCCCACCTGTGATCTTCCACGAAATTTCGTTGCTGCGCTTCATGGGAGTAGTGTAGGACAGAGGTTACAAAGCTGGTCTGTGCTGCTCTCTGCCAGCCTGTGTGCCTGTGCTCCTGTCGTGCGGACTCCCATTTGACAGAAAAGACTTCATTCAAATGCTCCTCTTGCCAACAGGAAAGCCGTGCGGCTTCAGCACAAGACGTCCAAAGTTCTACAGCAAGAGCTGGCCTGAAGAGCGCTGCACAGGGCTGCAGTCTTCTCACCCTCAGCCGGATCGATAGCGACAGCTTGGGCAGAGTCCGTGGAGATGACCAGATACCTGGATGACTTGGATGATGTTCCTAGCTGCCAGACTCTGGGGCAATGCCAGAAAAAAGGTATTCAAGAGCTCGCAGGGGGCATGTAGTTGTCGCTGAGCGCCTGCACAATCTTTATCCTCGCATGACACAGAGACATGATATGACCGGTGACTTGCCAAGAATGTGATGGACAGGCGACTCAGTGACTACTGAGTCGCCATTGCAAGGCTGGTGCGTGCCAAGCCGCTGGTACTGCGGAGACCCGTCAGGTAAAGGAACATCGTGAACTGCTGGCAGCTTGGACTGCTCGGCGCCACCCCCTTGGAGCCACGCAAAGAAGGTATCCATTGCACCAAGTTGCACTATCCTCGTATCCTGTTGACAATGTTACATGTTAGCTCGTGATCAATCAGGCTGCTACGATGTGCTCTGAACGGCTTGTTGGAGCCATGGGCTTAGCAGCCATATCTCCAATCCAGATTGGAGTACCGTTGGGCAAAAAGCTGCACCGTCGCTGCACGTCAGCGTGCTTTATGGGCAAAACAAGCTGCATTGTTTGTTTGTGCAACTCCACATGCTTCAATGTGGCGCAAAATCTTGCAAGCAAATGCGGGTACAGTGTTCACGGAACACGATGAAGAGGATGCGGCCTCAGAGAGCAGCCGCCGGCCTTCCGGCCTGGCAAGGGAATACATAAGAACCTGCATGAGGATCATGTCTTATCCCTCTGGATCCTAGGCTGCGTCCAAGACTGCCTGCAGCTTCACAATTGCCGGAGCCACACGATCATGTCGTGACTGGGCTGGGGATCCCTGACTGGCCCTACAAAAAATGAGACAAGCCGCAGGACAGGAAGCCAGCGCTGCTTCGAGCGACGGCATGGAGAAAGGTCCTTTTACGAGCTTTCCCATATGCAGCATCTGCTAATATCATGCTATCCCTCTAGGCCCCATGCACCATACAGCACAACCACATGTAGAACTGCCCCGTCCTCTGCCCAGTAGCTGCGTGAGAGCGAACCAGTCGTCTGCAAGACAACCTCCCACAAACGGGACATTGCTGACAGACAGAAATTTTCAAACACATTCAAAAAAGCATTCAACAAAGCGGGGCCAACAGGCTGTCTAGACTTTAGTGGTCTGTTATCACTGGTGAGCCTGCGATGGGAGCTTGGCAAAGAAACTACCGCACCTGAGTTGACTTCTGGCTAGCGCACCATCAACTGCGTATTATGTTGCACATGAACTTGGCTTCCGAAACTGAGCTCCCTGACGATGCCTCCTCTGAAAGGCCATCATTTGACTCATCGGAGAAGCTCAAACATCGCGAGGATGCAGAACGCAGTGACCCTGACTTTGTCAAATAAACAATGCAAACGCAAGATCCGGTCAGACCTTGCTTGCCTGGCTTACTTTTCGCATTGCAGAAAAACACGCATGCACGACAACTTGCGTTACGATGGAAAAATACGCATGACATGACGAACTTGTTTTTGATGAATTTGCGGCTGTGTTGGCTCTGGGGCTCTGGCCAGTCAACGATGTGCGGGATACGGACGCTTTAAGACCTTGGCACTGTCGTAGATGTAGGCATACGAGTAAAAATCGGTGTCCGACGCAACACACATGCATCGCGAAATTCCTGGCACTGACGGCTGGGTGAAAGGCTCGAAGCTTCTGGAGCCAAAAACAGACTGCAACAACATGTTGGTTCCCAAATCGCACACAACTGGCCAGCTCAAGATGCACGCCTGTGGCCTGTGTCAACAGTCTGAACATGACAAGCTTTGCCTCGGCAGCATTTGCTCGCCAAGCACGTCTGCATGCGTCGGCAAACTTATTTTGTCCTGCATTGGATGTATACTGACGCCGGGGAAATGATGAGAAAAACATCAACAAGGAGTCCTGATCCCAAACGTTCCCATCCTCTGTGATGTCTCGGAAAACCTGGCATAAGTGCATTGGGCGAGCATTTGCCTAACCCAACATGCTGAAGACACAACACCTTCTGCACGCGCGCCTGTGGCACATTGCCCATCCAAACTACTCTTCCGTGAGAAGATCCAAGTTGATATGTGGTGTGTGTGCACGCTGCTGCGAGTACAAGAACTGACGATGATGCACTTGATCTGAAAGCGATGGATGCAGTGTTGCAACTGTGGATGGATGCGCCATTGAACTAACAAACAAACAATGCGTGAACATGTCAACCGGCTGGATTTATGTGACATGGTTTCGGGATCAGACTGTCACTCTGGCTGTCATGCGAAACTTTGCAAAACAAACATTGCCGAGAACCTCTTCAACCATCCTGCAATTGCATCGAAAGGTGCCATGTCCTGCAACATGCAACAGCTGGTCCAACAACTACTGCAGAAACCGAGTCGCACTAAATACATTTTCCGCCAGTGTTGTCGCCTCCGCAAGAGGGAACTCGCTCCCGAAGCTGTGCAAAATAGAGCGCCCAAGCCAAAGCGGAGAGCACGCTGCTGCAACCCAGCTGCCCGGGTTTCCCGGGTTTAGCTTAGGTTTCCGTTTTTCGGGTTTCAGCGCTCAGGATTAAGGCTTTGTTTAAGGTTTAGGGTTTTGGGCTTTGAGGATTTAAGCGAACAGCATCCCGACCACGAAGAGACATAGCCTGGGCACTGGACGCTCAGAGCTCACATCACATGTGACACTGCTCCGAACTGGGTTCCGACTCACCCGCTCCGCCCCCAAGTCCCCAGCAACAGACCTGGCGTCAGGCTTGAAGCCCATCGTACCACCGGTCTCCGGTCGGCTTCAAGCTGAAACCAAGGCCTCAACTCCAAAGGCCCTGAGATTGGCAGCTATACCACTTCTACTTGCACCAGGAAAAGCATCCCTTGCGCAGCACACTCACCGTCTTCCCAGATTGAACCTGGCTGCAGACGCTTCACGAAAACACACACACACACACACAAACACACACACACACACACACACACACACACACACACACACACACACACACACACACACACACACACACACACACAACACACACACACACACACACACACACACACACACACACACGCACACACACACACACACACACACACACACACACACACACACACACACACACACACACAAACACACCCGCACACACACAAACACACACCACACAAAACACACACACACACACACACACACAAACACACACACACACACACACACACAAACACACACACACACACACACACACACACAACAAACACACACAACACACACAACACACACACACACCACACACACACACACACACACACACACACACACACACACACACACACACACACACACACACACACACACACACACACACACACACACACACACCACACACACACATCACACACACACACACACACTTCACACACACACACACACACACACACACACACACTTCACACACACACTTCACACACACACACACTTCACACACACACTTCACACACACACTTCACACACACACACACACTTCACACACACACTTCACACACACTTCACACACACACACACTTCACACACACACACACACACACACACACACACACTTCACACACACACACACACACACACACACACTGATGCATTGGTGACTGTGTGGAGTACAACCTTTTCACCTGTGCCTGTCATGATGATGAAATGAGATTTTTGTACCGTGTGTGCCAGACCACAGGAATGGCACACCAACACAAGATGAGGTGATCCGTAAGGGGTATGGTTTCGGCCCCTTGCTACGTCAGACACAAAGGAATAACGTAGCACGAAATGAGATGAAGATGAAAATGAAACGATGCCTCACCAGCTGGCCGCCTCGGACCCAGGTGCGGGCAAAGCAGGTACGTTTTCCTGGGGTGCAGGAGAGAGCTTCATTGGACGGAGCTCCCCTGCACCCCCTCCGTCCCCCTGCGCAACATGTGGATTTGGCGGTGAAGCCTTTCCAGGATGCAAATACCTGTTTCCACACACACACTGCCCTCGAAAGGGCTAGCTCGCAACAGTTCGCTCATGGCAGAAAGACTGAGGCTGACACAAGTAGACAACAGTGCACATGCCCTGGCGCTCGCACTGCCTAAACCCTGTTTGACAACCCTCATGGGAAGCGAGGAACAAGTTTAAAGTGAGCCACCACTTGGTTTTCAGTGGATACGGGTCCAGTCCACAAAGTGGTGGATAAGGGTCCGGTCCACCTTTTGGAAAACAAAAACTGTGGCAGGTAGTTTGAGGCGAGAGGGGAAGGGATGTGCGCCTGCCCATGCCCCCAGCAACCTGACAAAACACGACCTCAGGCGGCAACATACATCAGCTCGACACCCGTCTCTCGGAGACATCGGATCAAAACCAAGAGAGATTGAATCGGGAGGAAAACCCTTGGCTTGCACGGACCGTCACATCCTAAAAGCTTCGAATGATCTTACCTCCAACCGGAGGCTCGGCTACCTGCCGTTGGCGGGCGCCCAGGAGGGAAAGCCCAACCGAAGTCACACACTGATGCATTGGTGACTGTGTGGAGTACAACCTTTTCACCTGTGCCTGTCATGATGATGAAATGAGATTTTTGTACCGTGTGTGCCAGACCACAGGAATGGCACACCAACACAAGATGAGGTGATCCGTAAGGGGTATGGTTTCGGCCCCTTGCTACGTCAGACACAAAGGAATAACGTAGCACGAAATGAGATGAAGATGAAAATGAAACGATGCCTCACCAGCTGGCCGCCTCGGACCCCAGGTGCGGGCAAAGCAGGTACGTTTTCCTGGGGTGCAGGGGAGAGCTTCATTGGACGGAGCTCCCCTGCACCCCCTCCGTCCCCCTGCGCAACATGTGGATTTGGCGGTGAAGCCTTTCCAGGATGCAAATACCTGTTTCCACACACACACCCGCACGCGCGGGGTAAGAGCTGCCAGCCCAGCCGTAGCATCGGACGGCACCGGCGCATCCTCCTCTTCCTCTTCCTCGCAGTAACGGCATCTCGTTGCATGAACCACATGAACCCTTTGCCTGATGCATCCGGATGGCACCCGATGATGCTGGATGATGCCGAAATGCACGCTGTCAGGCCTCCGCCTGTTGCTCCTGCATCTCCTCGCTTTGAACCTCCGCCACCTCACAGGTCGAGCAATGTCGAGCATGTCTTAAACCATCTGATTTGTTCAGCAAATCTCCGACAGCCTGCTTCACGACCGCTACGATCACACCGCTGTGCTCCTTCAGCGTGATAGACCTTGCAAAAGGGTCCTCTTCACAGATTCTGGTACACGAATCACACACGACCGAGAAACTGGCCTAGTCTCGCCTTGAATGCAGATGATGGGTTGGCTCTCATGGGGATCGAGCTTGTCGCAGACCTGCAGATCTCTCAGGAGGACAATTTCTGGAAATGGACGGGCAGGTTGCAAGAGCATGCGGATTCGCATGGACAGCCTGCGCGAAGGGGGCCAACAGTTGTGGGCATCGGAGCCTCAGAGCTCAGAGCCCAGCGTGTCCCCAGCCCAGAGCCCTAGAAACGAAAGGCCAACCATGTCGACCGCTAAGGTGCCCTCTGATAGTCACCGTCGCCCGCTGTCTGCAGCACAAAGCCAGTGCCGCTTGCAACGCCTGGCTTAAAGGCTTCCCTTTCGAGCCCCTCACTGCCAAATGTGCTAATCTCGGCCACCTACAGCAGCCATCATGTTACAAGACCTTGTGCGAAACACATGTCTCCCTTATTCCGTTATCCTGCCTGCGCCGTGCGAGAAATTCACCAATGCACCACATTAAGACATCCACCTGTACATTTGTTCGCATTCTTCACCATATATATATATACATAATATACACTGCATTGCAACCTTTGTCTGCTTCAAGGGCTTTTCTGCTTCAGCGCCAGTGTTGCTGCCACGATTCCCGCCCCCGCTCCCCCAATCCCCACCCCGCAGCCCACCCCGCAGCCAAGCAAGGCCAAAGGTTTTGCTTGCCGCTATCCTGGTGTCATATCCCGGCACCGATTCACGGCAGCTTCCAGCATCCCAGGATTTGCTGCGCACGAAGTCCAACTTTTCAGGAATCAGGAAGGTTTTTTGTCATTTTGGCATAGACTTCGCCAAGTTCTCACTGCATGACTCCAGCTTGCAGGCGTGCGCGAGATACGTTTGCCAAAGCACCGATAGCAAGAGAAAGCAGCGATGTAGACCCTGCCGACCGTGCGCAGGCGGTGCCACTAAAGAAAGCCGACAAAGATCGAATGTACTCCGCTCGCTGCGCTTACCCTCTATCTAGGCTGCTAACCGGGTCTGAACGGTTGCCGAAAACATTTGCTGAGGGTTTGTAGCCAGGCCACAAGCTTCAGAGACAGCATGTTTCTTGTGGCCCTTGTGGCCGCAGAGGTAGCTACTACCTGGAAAATGCTTCACCACTCAGACAAGGCCCTTCCTCTCAAAACTGCATCAGAGCCGATTGATGCATCAGGGCGGTTATAGCGGTTTAAATGCAGCTCCCTCCCGCACACACGAATCTTCGTTGCTCGTCACCTGAACGCGTTTTCCATTGCCTACACACCAAGCCTGGTTCTCCTCTTCAAAAGCGTGAGACGTGAGACTTTGAGCACCACTGCAGAATCACTTGCCCCCCCCACGCAGTTAGAACATTGGTCTCGGCCCCAAAAGCGCTTAACTTAACGAAGATCGGCGCAGGAGCCGAAAGGGCAAAAGAGCGTCTGTCATCGCAAAACATGCCACACGCGAATTAGATGAAAACCTGCGGGGTATGCATTGGGTGGAGCAGCAAAGTTCT